TTGTTCAGAGGAGGCTGTGTGAATCAGGCCTTAATAGTCGAATTGCTGCTAAGAAATCACTACTAAAAGACACTAATAATAAGAAGAGACTTGCTTGGGCCAAGAAACACGAGCAATGGATATTAGATCGGTGGAAATGTGTCCTTTGGTCTGGAGTCCAAATTGGAGATTTTTGGTTCCAACCATGGGTGAAAGGATGATCTCCGCATGTGTATTTCCCACCATAAAGCATGGAGGAGGAGGTGTTATGGTGTGGGGGTGCTTTGCTGGTGACACTGTCTGTGATTTATTTAGAATTCAAGGCACACTTAACCAGCATGGCTACCACAGCGTTCTGCAGCGATACGCCATCCCATCTGGTTTAGGCTTAGTGGGACTATAATTAGTTTTTCAACAGGACAATAACCCAACACACCTCCAGGCTGTGTAAGGGCTATTTTATCAAGAAGGAGAGTGATGGAGTGCTGCATCAGATGACCTGGCCTCCACAATCCCCCGACCTCAACCAAATTGAGATGGTTTGGGATGAGTCGGACCACAGAGTGAAGGAAAAGCAGCCAACAAGTGCTCAGCATATGTGGGAACTCCTTCAAGACTGTTGGAAAAGCATTCCAGTCAAGAGTGTGCAAAGCTGTCATCAAAGAAAAGGGTGGCTATTTGAAGAATCTCAAATATAAAATATATTTTGATTTGTTTAACACTTTTTTTTTTACTAGATGATTCCATATGTGTTATTTCATAGTTTTGATGTCTTCACTATTATTCTACAATGTAGAAAATAGTAAAAATAAAGAAAAACCCTTGAATGAGTAGATGTTCTAAAACGTTTGACCAAATTTCAAAAAATGGAACCTTGTGTATTCTACTATTCTAACTCGCAACAGTAAGTTGAGACCCCGACTGAGTAATTTGTTTTTGGGGGAGGGTGGAATTGATCCTTCAAAAGGGGGGGCACCAGTTGCCCATCCCTGCCCTACAGTAACTACATAAATCACTGCTGCAAACAAGAAAGCAAATGCCACAATGTTCAACATTTCAGCCTAGTTCACAGTGTAATGATGTTTAGAGCCTTAAACTGGATCTCTAGAGATGTAGCTCAGCCCAGGCTGATCAAAGATGGATGGGTAGAGAGAGAGAGATTCATGAAATATTCACACCGTGTTTGTGTGTGTGTGTGTGTGTGTGTGTGTGTGTGTGTGTGTGTGTGTGTGTGTGTGTGTGTGTGTGTGTGTGTGTGTGTGTGTGTGTGTGTGTGTGTGTGTGTGTGAGAGAGAGGGGTCGACGGCCCGGTGGTGATGTCTCAGTGCACTCCAGAGGGGAAGTGAGGCGCCTGGAGATGAGTTCAAAGCCAGGCCAGGGTCGTCGTAGTGACGGCAGAGCTCCCCTAGCAACAGCCGTGCGCTGTCTGATGACACGCATCATTCTTCACACAAACAAAGCTCACAAATATCCAAAAAACACACACACACCGCTCCACACACATCGCTCTCTCAACCACACACACACCGCTCACACAGGGTTTGCATCAGCAAGAGAAATGAGGACACTGAGGAGCCATTTTTCATCCCAACATCATCTATGTTTGGGTGTTTGTGTGTGTGTGTGTGTGTGTGTGTTCAGTTAAATGCAACATCTTTGAAGTGTAAGCAGCGTACTGACATGGCCAAGGCAGGATGTTGCAAAACGAAACCAACCATTTGTTGTCTCAGACAGGAAGGGAGGGGGTTAAGGTGTATTTCTGAGTGTGTGCGTGTGGGCAGCATGCCTGCCTGTACGCGTGCGGGAAAAAAAAAAGGTGCTATCTAAAACCGTCCCCATAGAACCCTTTGAAGAACCCTTTTAGATCCAGGTTGAACCCTTTTGGTTCCAGATAGAACACTTTTGCTTCCAGTTAGAACACTTTTTAGTTCCAGGTAGAACCCTTTTGGGTTTTAGATAGGAACTTTTTTTTTTCTAAGAGTGTACGCACTCATACAGGCAGGCATGTAAAACATGCTGCCCACACGCACACACTCAGAAATACTCCTTAACCCCTTCCCCTCCTGTCTGAGACAACAAACGGTTGGTTTCCTTTTGTAACATCCTGCCTTGGCCTTGTTCTGTGTCAGTACGCAGAGGAACCCTTTTTTCCCCCCCTAAGATGTGTGTCTGTGTGTTTCATGTGCATGCCATGCCTGCATTTCTGCATTGGTATGAGTGTGTGCTTCACAGACCAGGTAAGCCGTTCTCCCTAACTAACCGCAGTGCTCTGTTCCATCCCTTCCTCCCCTCCACCTCAGGCCCTATGATGTGCTCTGTTCTGTCTGGCAGCCATGTTGGATCTAATTATCCCTTTTAAACATAATCTGGTTTAGCTGAAATGTGGCTCTAAGTGGCAATCTAATGTGTTGAGTAAAGCTTGAAACGCTCTTCAACTGTTTAATTCATTAATTCAGCCCTGGAGTGGTTCCTTGTCCTGCATTCCCATAGATAAGGTTGACTTTTCCTCCGGTGAAATGAATCAAGGGAAGGTTACTGTAATACTGTGGAAATGGAAGAAAGGAAAAACTGTGTGAGTGGGTGGGATTTGATTCTGATTCTGACTAAATTGAAGTTTTGGACGAACTCAAATGTGTCTATTTCTCTCTATCTGCTATAGGTTGAGTTGTGTAACGTTATTTTATTTAGCACAGGAGGACAGTCTTGCTCATCATATATATATGGTCTGCTTATGATCTCTCTGCATCTGTAGAATTTGACTTATTCCCCAATTTCCCAATTCTACTGTCTCCAGTCTACCAGTTTGATTTCCTATAGTGGTGACTGTGTGGCCTCTATAGTGGTGACTGTGTGGCCTCTATAGTGGTGACTGTGTGTCCTCTATAGTGGTGACTGTGTGGCCTCTATAGTGGTGACTGTGTGGTCTCTATAGTGGTGACTGTGTGGCCTCTATAGTAGTGACTGTGTGGCCTCTATAGTGGTGACTGTGTGTCCTTTATAGTGGTGACTGTGTGGCCTCTATAGTGGTGACTGTGTGGCCTCTATAGTGGTGACTGTGTGTCCTTTATAGTGGTGACTATGTGGCCTCTATAGTGGTGACTGTGTGTCCTCTATAGTGGTGACTGTGTGGCCTCTACAGTGGTGACTGTGTGTCCTTTATAGTGGTGACTGTGGCCTATAGTGGTGTGTGTCCTTTATAGTGGTGACTGTGTGGCCTCTATGTTGGTGACTGTGTGGCCTCTATAGTGGTAACTGTGTGTCCTTTATAGTGGTGACTGTGTGGCCTCTATAGTGGTGACTGTGTGGTCTCTATAGTGGTGACTGTGTGTCCTCCATAGGGGTGACTGTGTGGGCTCTATAGTGGTGACTGTGTGGCCTCTATAGTGGTGACTATGTGACCTCTATAGTGGTGACTGTGTAGCCTCTACAGTGGTGACTGTGTGGCCTCTATAGTGGTGACTATGTGACCTCTATAGTGGTGACTGTGTGGCCTCTATAGTGGTGACTGTGTGTCCTTTATAGTGGTGACTGTGTGGCCTCTATAGTGGTGACTGTGTGGTCTCTATAGTGGTGACTGTGTGGCCTCCATAGGGGTGACTGTGTGGGCTCTATAGTGGTGACTGTGTGGCCTCTATAGTGGTGACTATGTGACCTCTATAGTGGTAACTGTGTGTCCTTTATAGTGGTGACTGTGTGGCCTCTATAGTGGTAACTGTGTGTCCTTTATAGTGGTGACTGTGTGGCCTCTATAGTGGTGACTGTGTGGCCTCTATAGTGGTGACTGTGTGGCCTCCATAGGGGTGACTGTGTGGGCTCTATAGTGGTGACTGTGTGGCCTCTATAGTGGTGACTATGTGACCTCTATAGTGGTGACTGTGTGGCCTCTACAGTGGTGACTGTGTGGCCTCTATAGTGGTTACTGTGTGTCCTTTATAGTGGTGACTATGTGGCCTCTATAGTGGAGACTGTGTGGCCTCTATAGTGGTGACTGTGTGGCCTCTATAGTGGTGACTATGTGACCTCTATAGTGGTGACTTTGTGTCCTCTATAGTGGTGACTGTGTGTCCTTTATAGTGGTGACTGTGTGGTCTCTATAGTGGTGACTATGTGACCTCTATAGTGGTGACTGTGTGGCCTTTATAGTGGTGACTATGTGACCTCTATAGTGGTGACTTTGTGTCCTCTATAGTGGTGACTGTGTGTCCTTTATAGTGGTGACTGTGTGGTCTCTATAGTGGTGACTATGTGACCTCTATAGTGGTGACTGTGTGGCCTCTATAGTGGTGACTGTGTGGCCTCTATAGTGGTGACTGTGTGGCCTCTATAGTGGTGATTATGTGACCTCTATAGTGGTGACTGTGTGGCCTCTATAGTGGTGACTGTGTGGCCTTATAACTTTGAGCTTGTCCCTCTGCAGCTCCACATGCTACTCCTAAACAGTGTCTTTAAGCCAGATGAATGGTCCTACATCCTCTTTATTAATCCTCTTCTCTGCACCTCCCAGCCACAGCATTTTAATCAGCTTTCCTAACCTTTTGATGCAGCGGAATGTCCTTATGAACACACAGGGCATGGCAACGCGTTCGCTGTCACGTCCCGGCACAATTGGTTTTAGCAGCAGGAGTCCTTCAGGCAGCTTTAGAGCTGGGGCTGTGAAGCTGTGTGTGTGTGTGTGTGTGTGTGTGTGTGTGTGTGTGTGTGTGTGTGTGTGTGTGTGTGTGTAGCTCTCAGGCTAATGAAATCAGCCCGGTCTGTATTAATCCCTCTTGAAGGACGGTGTCAGGAAGAAATGAACTGAAATGAGCTGGGTCGTTATCTGTCTTCGACAGGTGAGAGGTGTGTGTGTGTGTGTGTGTGTGTGTGTGTGTGTGTGTGTGCATGTAATCGAATGGCAAAGCTCACACTGCACTTGATGCCAAATGTGTATTTGTCTTTATTAACCCAAATATTCTGTCTCTACTCCTTCAAAACATTTTAAACAGATTCCCCCCCCCCCCCCCCCCCCCCATTCGCCATTGTATTCAGACTTCTGAGTTCCTACCTGTGTTCCCTCTTTCCTGCTTGGGACAGATTCCTTTAGCGGGCGTCAGCCTCCTCTCCTCTTCATCCTCCCCATGGGGGGTCACCTGCACCCCCACCTCCACCGGCACTGCCCCTCCCCGTGTCAAGATGGAGGTCCCCCTCTCGCCCGGTTTGAAGAACCCCCCGGGGGCGCGGCCTCCCCCACTGCACAGTCTCCTTTTGTGTTCTATGAAGACCAGGATGTCTCCCAAGGGGAAGTTGGTCTGGCACCTCCCACAGGTCAGGAGGTCATGCTCCCCTGGCCCCGCCCTCCTCGGAGTGGGAGTGGGGCTGGGAATGGACGGCTCCGGGGAGCGAGGTCCCACCCCCGACTCATGATTGGCCTCGGCTGTGGCGAGAAGAAAGGGCGAGGAGAGAGGAGAGAGGAGAGAGGAGATGTCAATCATGGTGTCATCATCGAACAGTTCTAGAACATGTCACATCTGATCGTCTGCAGCACAAACTGTATACTACAAAACTAAACACAAGATCTAAAGTCAATCAAAAATTACATTAAAATATTTTGTACGTAAATGTTTTAGATAACGTTACCTGCAAAATGCCATATTTCCATAGCACCCTAAATAATCTGCTTAACGTTTAGCATAATGTTTACAAGCACCACACAACCAGGCAGCTGTAGCTGGTGTGAACCCTGAACCAACCAAACACCTGAGAGCTTTAGTCTTATCTGGGAGTTGAGATCGGTGAGTATAAAGCTATGAACCGTTTCACAACGGTCTATGGGTTTCCGGTGCAGCTCTCTGCACTAGTTTCTACTGTCTGCTAGCATCTGCACCACATGGAAACCTCATTACATAGTGTAGGCCAGATGTGTTTATGTGGAGTGGGGACAGGGAGGTGGAGTTTGGGGGGGGACGTGTGTGTGTGTGTGTGAATGTGTGGTGACCTGCGTGACTGTGTGTGTGTGTGTGCGCGTGTGTGTGTGTGTTTGTGTGGTGACATGCGTGACTGTGTGTGAGTGCGCAAGTGAGTGTGTGTGTGTGTGTGTGCGTGAGTGTGCGTGTGTGTGGTGCGTGCCTGTGTGCCTGCATGTATGTGTGTGTGTGAGTGTGTGTGTGTGTGTGTGTGTGCGTGCGTGTGTGTGGTGCGTGCCTGTGTGCCAGCATGTATGTGTGTGTGTGAGTGTGTGTGTGTGTGTGTGTGTGTGTGTGTGTGTGTGTGTGTGTGTGTGTGTGTGTGTGTGTGTGTGAGTGTGCGTGTGTGTGGTGCGTGCCTGTGTGCCTGCATGAATGTGTGTGTGTGTGTGTGAGTGTGTGTGTGTGTGTGTGTGTGTGTGTGTGTGTGTGGACACAGCTGTATTCTCCTCAGAAAGCTCTATAAAGGGACACCACTGCACTCCTAACACTGGCGACAGTAGCTCTCATTATTCTCATAGTTGACGCTGTCATCAGTAACCATAAGTCATTCTCCCCTGATTGTTTTACAGTCCCATGGTGTAAATTCCTTAAGGACGTTTCATCTGTAACAATTCCCTGATACAACCAGTAGGTATGTATCTTCTCTGGAGGGCCTGCAGGAAACCTGAAATTCCAGAGATACTCAGGGCGTCTGTCTGAGCGGGTAGCAGGGAGAGGTGTTGATGCCTGGGAGAGGAGAGTAGCAGATCTACTGTCTATCACCCGCATTTCCCTTCAGTCTCTCTCTGTACAAACATTCACGGGCACAGATCAGTGTGTGTGTGTGTGTGTGTGTGTGGGTGTGTGTATGTGTGTGTGTCCTGGGCTTTGTTCATCACATAGGGGAGAGAGATCCTATACTGTAATCTGCCCCGAAGACCTCCTGTAAACTTCCATTCACAACTTCTACAGCCAGGCAGTTAGACAATATATGCGTCTCAAACAGCACCCTATTCCCATAGGGGTCTGGTCCAAAGCAGTGCACTATATAGGGAATAGGGTGCCAAATGGGATGCAGGGAGTTTCACATAGTTTCTTAGTTGCAGCGGAACCTCCATATGTCTGTCTGGAATGAAAAAAGAAAGGAGAGAGGCTTTGGAGAGAAGCCGCACGGTAAGCCTCCTCTGAGCCACGAATAAGAGAGGAGAGATTAGATATTCGATATAGGATATAGATAGCGATAAGAGAGTAGATCTATATATAATATTCTCAGCTCTCCTCTCTCTCGCTATCTCTCTCTCCTCTCCTCTCCTCTCCTCTCTCTCTCTCTCTCTCTCCTTCTTCCTCTCTCTTCTCTCTCTTCTCTTCTCTCTCTCTCTCTCTCTTTCTCTCTGAACCCTCTCTCTCTCTGTCTCTAGTCTCTCTCTCTGAACCTCTCTCTCTCTTCTGTGAACCTCTATCTCTCTCTGTCCTCATCTTCTCTCTGTCTCTCTTCTCTCTTCTCTGTCTCTCTGTATCTCTCTCATGTCTCTCTGTATCCTCCTGAACCCCTCTCTCTTCTCTCTCTGAACCCTCTCTCTCTCTCTCTGAACCTATCTCTCTCTGAACCTATCTCTCTCTGAACCTGCTGGCTATTGCCCTGAAGTGATGCTATGACACATTTTTCACACAGCATATTTCTCTTAAACAGTGTCTTGGAACAGGGCCACGTCATTTCTATATCATAAAGAGGAAGACAAATATGTTGTTCTAACCTGACTGGGACATGATATAACCTGATGGGCCATGTGTGTGTGTTCCAGTAAAGGCTTTGTGATCGTGTGTATGTATATATATTGTGTGTGGTGTGTGTGTAGGTGTGTGTGTGTGTGTGTGTGTGTGTGTGTGTGTGAGTGTGTGTGTTTGTGTTTGTGCCTGAGTGTCTACTTAGCCCTCATATCAGTCTCATATCAGTTGCCAGGGGCATTTAAGATGAAATTAACTAAATTCCTAACGTGATTGATGCAACTGATGGGGGGGGGGGGGGGGGGGGATGGGGGGAGATGGAGACAGAGAGGTGAGGGAAGAGACAGAGAGCGAGATGGAGGGAGGGACAGAGAGGGGATGGAGACAGAGAGGGGAGGGAGGGACAGAGAGAGATGGAGGGAGGGACAGAGAGAGAGATGGAGACAGGGGGGAGGAAGGGACAAAAGAGAGTTGGAGGGAGGGACAGAGAGAGGGATTGAGACAGAGAGGGGAGGGAGGGACAGAGAGAGATGGAGGGAGGACAGAGAGAGAGATGGAGGACAAGGGGGGAGGAAGGGACAAAAAGAGAGTTGGAGGGAGGGACAGAGAGAGGGATTGAGACAGAGAGGGGAGGGAGGGACAGTGAGAGAGATGGAGGGAGGGACAGAGAGAGAGAGAGAGACAGAGAGGTGAGGGAGGGATAGAGAGAGAGATGGAGACAGAGAGGTAAGGGACAGAGAGAGAGAGATGGAGACAGAGAGGGGAGGGAGGGACATAGAGAGAGATGGAGACAGAGAGGGGAGACATCAGTATAGAGTCGCTCAGACACGAGACGTATGTGGCAGGGTCTACAGACAATCACAGACTACAAAAAGAAAACCAGCCACGTCGCCGACACCGACGTCTCGATTCCAGACAAGCTAAACTCCTTCTTCGCCCGCTTTGAGTATAACACAGTGCCACTGACAAGGCCCTCTACCAAGGACTGTGGCCTCTCCTTCTCCATGGCCGATGTGATTAAGACATTTAAAGCATGTTAACCCCCGCAAGGCTGCCGGCCCAGACGGCATCCCTAGCCGCGTCCTCAGAGCATGCGCAGACCAGCTGGCTGGTGTGTTCATGGACATATTCAATCTCTCCCTTTCCCAGTCTGCTGTTCCCACATGCTTCAAGATGGCCACCATTGTTCCTGTACCCAAGAAAGCAAAGGTAATTGAACTAAATAACTATCGCCCTGTAGCACTCACCTCTGTCATCATGAAGTGCTTTGAGAGACTAGTCAAGGATCATATCACCTCTACCTTAACTGTCACCCTAGACCCACTTCAATTTGCTTACCGCCCCAATAGATCCACAGACGATGCAATTGCCATCACACTGCACACTGCCCTATCCCATCTGGACAAGAGGAATACCTATGTAAGAATGCTGTTCATTGAATAAAGCTCAGCATTCAACACCATAGTACCCTCCAAGCTCATCATTAAGCTCGAGGCCCTGGGTCTGAACCCCGCCCCTGTGCAACTGGGTCCTGGACTTCCTGATGGGCCCCCCCAGGTGGTAAAGGTAGGAAACAACATCTCCACTTCGCTGATCCTCAACACTGGGGCCCCACAAGGGTGCGTGCTCAGCCCCCTCCTGTACTCCCTGTTCACCCATGACTGCGTGGCCAAGCACGCCTCCAACTCAATCATCAAGTTTGCAGATGACACAACAGTAGTAGGCTTGATCACCAACAAATACGAGACCGCCTACAGGGAGGAGGTGAGGGCTCTGGGAGTGTGGTGCCAGGAAAATAACCTCTCACTCAACGTCAACAAAACAAAGCAGATGATCGTGGACTTCAGGAAACAGCAGAGGGTGCACCCCCCTATCCACATCGACGGGTCCGCAGTGGAGAAGGTGGAAAGCTTCAAGTTCCTTGGCGTACACATCACCGACAAACTGAAATGGTCCGCCCTCGCAGACAGTTTGGTGAAGAAGGCGCAACAGAGCCTCTTCAACCTCAGGAGGCTGAAGAAATTTGGCTTATCACCTAAAACCCTCACAAACTTTTACAGATGCACAATTGAGAGCATCCTGTTGGGCTGTATCACCGCCTGGTATGGCAACTGCACCACCCACAACCGCAGGGCTCTCCAGAGGGTGGTGCGGTCTGCGGAACGCTTTACCGGGGGCAAACTACCCGCCCTCCAAGACACATACAGCACCCGATGTCACAGGAAGGCCAAAAAGATCATCAAGGACATTAACCACCCGAGCCACTGCCTGTTCACCCCACTATCATCCAGAAGGCGAGGTCAGTACAGGTGCATCAAAGCTGGGACCGAGAGAATGAAAAACAGCTTCTACCTCAAGGCCATCAAACTGTTAAATAGCCATCACTAGCACATTAGAGGCTGCTGCTGCCTATTGAAATCACTGGCCACTTTAAGAAATGGAACACTAGTCACTTTAATAATGTTTACATATCTTGCACTACTCATCTCATATGTATATACTGAATTCTATTCTATAATATTCTACTGTATCTTAGTCCATGCCGCTCTGTCATTGCTTGTCCATATATGTATTCAGTGAGGGAATAAAGTATTTGATCCCCTGCTGATTTTGTACGTTTGTCCACTGACAAAGACATGATCAGTCTATAATTTTAATGGTAGGTTTATTTGAACAGTGAGAGACAGAATAACAACAACAAAAAATCCAGAAAAACGCATGTCAAAAATTTTATAAATTGATTTGCATTTTAATGAGGGAAGGAAATAAGTATTTGACCTCTCTGCAAAACATGACTTAGTACTTGGTGGCAAAACCCTTGTTGGCAATCACAGAGGTCAGACGTTTCTTGTAGTTGGCCACCAGGTTTGCACAACATCTCAGGAGGGATTTGTCCCACTCCTCTTTTGCAGATCTCTCCCAAGTCATTAAGGTTACGAGCCTGACGTTTGGCAACTCAAACCTTCAGCTCCCTTTTCTATGGGATTAAGGTCTGGAGACTGGCTAGGCCACTCCAGGACCTTAATGTGCTTCTTCTTGAGCCACTCCTTTGTTGCCTTGGCCGTGTGTTTTGGGTCATTGTCATGCTGGAATACCCATCCACGACCCATTTTCAATGCCCTGGCTGAGGGAAGGAGGTTCTCACCCAAGATTTGACGGTACATGGCCCCGTCCATCGTCCCTTTGATGCAGTGAAGTTGTCCTGTCCCCTTAGCAGAAAAACACCCCCAAAGCATAATGTTTCCACCTCCATGTTTGACGGTGGGGATGGTGTTATTGGGGGCATAGGCAGCATTCCTCCTACTCCAAACACGGCGAGTTGAGTTGATGCCCAAAGAGCTCGATTTTGGTCTCATCTGACCACAAACACTTTCACCCATTCTCCTCTGAATCATTCAGATGTTCATTGGCAAACTTCAGAAGGGCCTGTATATGTGCTTTCTTGAGCAGGGGGACCTTGCGGGCGCTGCAGGATTTCAGTCCTTCACGGCGTAGTGTGTTACCAATTGTTTTCTTGGTGACTATGGTCCCAGCTGCCTTGAGATCATTGACAAGATCCTCCCGTGTAGTTCTGGGCTGATTCCTCACCGTTCTCATGATCATTGCAACTTTTGTGTTTCTTCCATTTGCGAATAATCGCATCAACTGTTGTCACCTTCTCACCAAGCTGCTTGGCGATGGTCTTGTAGCCCATTCCAGCCTTGTGTAGGTCTACAATCTTGTCCCTGACATCCTTGGAGAGCTCTTTGGTGTTGGCCATGGTGGAGATTTTGGAATCTGATTGATTGATTGCTTCTGTGGACTGGTGTCTTTTATACAGGTAACAAGCTGAGATTAGGAGCACTCCCTTTAAGAGTGTGCTCCCAATCTCAGCTCGTTACCTGTATAAAAGACACCAGTTGTCAGTGGGCAAACGTACAAAATCAGCAGGGGATCAAATACTTTTTTCCCTCACTGTATATTCTTAAATCCCATTCCTTACTTTTTTGTGTGTATTGGGTATATGTTGTGTAATTGTTAGATATTACTGCACTGTTGGATCTAGAAGCACAAGCATTTCGCTACACCCGCTATAACATCTGCTAAACACGTGTATGTGACAAATAACATTTGATTTGATTTGATGAGACAGAGAGATGAGGGAAGGACAGAGAGAGAGACAGAGACAGAGACAGAGAGGGGAGGAAGAGGGAGAGGGGAGGGGAGAGAGGGAGAGGAGGAGGAGGGAGAGAGAGGGCAGAAGGAGAGGGCGACGAGAAACAAGGAGATGATATAGATACTGAGCGAGAGAGGCGAGGAGAGACGAGAGGAGACGAGAGAGAGAGAGAGAAGGAGAGAGAGGAGAGAGGAGAGATGAGAAAGAGAGGAGAAAAAGAGGAAAAAGGAGGAGGAGAAAGAGAGGAGAGCACTAGAAGGGGAGAGAGAGAGGAGAGGAAAGAAAAAGATATTAGAGAGAGATAGAGAGACGGAGAGCGGAGGAGCAGACGCGGAGAGAGAGAGAGAGAGAGCGGATGGAGAGAGAGAGAGAGCTAGAGAGAGGAGAGAAAAAAAGATAGATAGAGAGAGAGCAGAACAGGGAGGAATGAGTAACATGTCCTAGGGGTGGGGACCGTCACAATGCCACAGAAATATCAGCCAACCGCTCTCTCCGTCTGACATCTTCTAACTACATCAACTCATCATCCACACTGCAGGTAGAGAGAGTGGCACACACACACACATACACACACACACACACACACACACACACACACACACACACACACATACACACACATATACACACACACACACACACACATACACTGGTCATGTATCTCAAACATCAAAAGAGAGAAAGTCCCGTTTGTACTATGTTACATTTTATTAAATGTAAACCAACCCCCAGAGAAAAGCGCATACTTCACAGCTGCATAGCAGTTATACAGGAACAGGAAGTACTGTATTCTGAGAGAGAATGTTGATTAGGGTAAAACCAAACTACTTCACACAGTAACACACTGTATTAAAATTCCAATCCGGTAACTAAATCTCACCTATCATCACTTTCTCTGCTCTAAAGTATTTATATGAAGACACAGCTATCAATCATAGACATTAACTATGCCACAGGATCATAAGCTCGGTGGCATTCACCTCCTGGGAACAGTTTGATATCCCCTCTGGTTGAGCAACTATCAGACGTTTAAGAAGATGAAAGGGATCTAGTGCTTTTAATGCTCAAGGGGTTATAATTGCACACACACACACACACACGCATGCACACCCACACACACACACACGAGCAAACACACACACAAAAACGCATGCATTGAAACACACACACACACACACACACACACACCAACGCATGAAAAAAAAAAAAAAAAAAAAAAAGAATGAAAAAAAAACAAAAAAAAAAAGAAGGAAAAAAAAAATAACAAAAACACAAAAAAAAAAAAAATGGAAAGGGAGAGAAAGGGATGGAAAGGGGGAGAAAAAGTAGAACAGGAGTGAAAAAACTGATGAAAGAATGAAAGAAACCACATTTCCAGTTGTGAATAGGAGAGGGAGTTTGTGGAACAGGATTAAGGCACCCCTATCGTTTGGAATAGGAGAGAGACAGACTTACAGCACCCCCTATCAGTTTGAATAGGAGAGAGACAGACTTACAGCACCCCCTATCAGTTTGAATAGGAGAGAGACAGACAGTTACTGATCTAATACTCTATCCTCGAACAAGAGAAAGACTACATTAGATTGATTGATTAGATTGACGTTCATTAACAAAACTACAAAAATAAAAAATACATTCAATAATCATGTAGAAATTGTCACAAAATTGATAGTATGCTACAGTGCTTCAGTTCATTCAAAGCTTTGTGTTCCCTTCAGCCACTGCTGTGCTAACACACACAGACATGCCAATACATACAGACACACACACACACACAGACACACACAGACACACACATGCCAGCAAGCAGACAGCCAGAGATGGGGGGGGGGATGATCCGCTGTTGTCTTCAAAATAAACGACACGACGCCACCGACGATACACACTAATTCTAATGCCAAGCCATTCTGTTTAACCGTGCGTTCTCTCCAGTGTGAGAGCCAAGGTTATAGCTGCTGTTAATGTGTGTTGTGCAAGGATAGGGACCGAGCTATGTGCTTCATTATCTTACCCCCACATTATCCATCTCACTGACATTTCATATCATAAATCTACATTCATCATTTCAAAACATCAGTGATAACATTGAGGCAATGCTCAAAGAGACGTTTCTCTGTTCAGATTACTGAGAGGTCCATGAAAAAAAAAGATGGTATCATTAACAATGACATAAATAAAACTATATATATTTATCTAATATATAATTAGGCGATATATAAATTATACAATTGTGTAATTAATTATATAAATTAATGATCAATTGTGTAATTATTAGCCTTTTATTACATGCGTGTGACTAGGAGTATAATACGGAGGTTGTTTCCTTGTTTGTATCATTTCACGGCATATGGTGGAAACCTGTCAGCACACACACGTTACCAGAAATGTCCCTATTCTTGTCCCACAGGAGATCTGCTGAGATCTGCTGTCGTTCGTGTTCTTCTTTTGAATAACACACACAAGCTGCTGTATGTACATAAGCCCTCCACCTATAACAGCAATACTGCCTATGAACATCCTTGATCTGATACCATGAAATGAGGATCCTAAGACCACGCGGTGGGAACAAAACATAACTGTCGGCAAAGCTGAGGTTCATACAGTTTATGTCTCTGTAAAAATGTTTTTTTATGTATGATGAAGGAGGAAAAGGGGGACCGGGGGAGCGGAAGAGGGACTCCGGCCATCGCTCGACAGACCCCCGTATGACTGAGACCTTTGGGCTTTGCTCGTGCCACGGGACTCTGTCTGGCGACTTGTTGAGCTTGTTCCTGAAGGGAGCTTCCCACACCGACGGGTCGATTGACACGATCAATTAGTAGCCTGGTTCAGCTCAGGCTAGCGGCCCAGAGTCCGCACTACGTGTGATGCCGACTCACGCGCCGTGTGTACTTTGGGCGAACTTGACGAACCTTTTGTTTTGAGGCCGCTTCATGACGGGGCTGCCTCGCCGACACTTCCTGCGGGTCCAGAGATACCGAGCCGTCTGTATAGTCAGCCTTGATTACGATCTCGCATTTTCGGTTCACGCACCCCGATGGAGATCGTGCCCGTGTCCACTTCCCTCCCGAGACGATCTTGACTGCCCCCGCGACGAGGAGAGTTTCGGGCCCCCGACGAGAGTCCTCTTATGATGACTTGGACGCGAGGACCGATTTCCCCTGCTGCTCCGACTAGCTGTCTAGAGGCACGTTGGCAGATCGAGACAGACCTGAGAGGAGCAGGATGAGAGAGATGAGAGAAGGAGGAAGGAGAGGAGAAGTAAGTTTACAATTTACAGTCAGACACCAGAAAATATGCTGAGTGAGGGTGATCTTAAGGTTTAAAAATCGTTGTGAGCATATGACCTACCTGTAGGCCCATCGCCTGAAGGCTAACAGTGGGTTGAGCAAGTATTCAAACAGACATCATAATACAGCCAAGATATCTTGGGGAACTCAATTCAAACTGGAGTTTGGCACGAAGGAGGAGAAAGCGAAAGAAAGAAGGAAGAAGGGGGGAGAAGGAAAGAGGAAAGAGAAGAGAGTAGAGAGAGAAAGAGAAGAGACGAGATCGAGAATAAGGACCTAGGGAGGAGCCCAAGAAAGACGAGTAGAGAGCCCTGAGGGAGAATATCTACGAAGGAGAGTATAGAAGAGAGGAGATAGATAGAGCGAGAGAGAGGGTGGAGAATAGAGAGAGAGCCGAGAGCAGAGAGAGAGAGAGAGGAGACGAGAGAGATAGAGATATAGAGAAGAGAGTAGAGAGTAAGAGATAGAGAGAGAGAGGATAGAGAGACGAGAGAGAAATAGATAGAGAGAGATATAGAGCTAGCTTCCGAGAGAAAGAAGAATAGCAAGAAATACACTATATCAATAAATAATTTAGAATAGTAACTCATACATATACGTACTCCTCAATATAATATAATATCATACTCACCTCCTCTCCTCTCCTCTCCTCTCCTCTCCCTCCCTCCTCCCTCCCTCCCAGATGGGTGTAGCCTCCAGGGCTAACCTGGGGGATATGCGTGCGTGATACATGTGTGCATGATTTGGATTAAATTAATTGCAGACATGGACACATGCAAACACACAGATAACCTCACACACACACACAACATAACCTCACACACACATGACTACACACACAATGCATATTTACACACACAGACACAGCTGGACAAATGTAGGGACATAGATGGTCAGATGGACACAACCAAAAGGATTATACATTTATGTCTCTCTTTTCTCTCTTTCTCTCTCTCTCTCTCTACTATCTCTATATTCTCTTAGGGAAGAGAGAGAGAGGGAGAGAGAAGGGAGAGAGGGAGAGAGAGAGGGAGAGAGAGAGAGAGAGAAGAGAGAGCTGGAGCAGGAGAGAGAGAGAGAGGGGAGAGAGGAGGAGAGAGAGAGAGAGAGGGAGGAGAGAGAGAGAGCAAGAAGAGAGGTAAGAAGAGAGAGAGAGGCAGAGAGAGGAGATAGGGAGAGGAGGGAGCTAGAGAGAGATGAGCGATCTTTCGTCTCTCTCTTTCTCTCTTTCTCTCTCTCTTTCTCTCTCTCTCTTTCTCTCTCTCTTTCTCTCTCTCTATCTTTCTCGCTCTCCTCGTTTACAGTCTAATTACATTTCTTTCAGAGAATATTTACATTGTAATTCAGCTGAATGTCAGGTCAGTAACTGTTCTGTCCTTCCCAGACATAAATAAACACATGCACACACACACACCACATTAACTCATATCCTGCAAGCTATCCATCTGAAGGCAAGTCAGATAGAAATGACAGTTGGAGATACACAGGCCCCGTGGACCTCGGGCTAAAATGCAGGACAGTAACTGTCCTGTCGTCTTGAGACACACACACACACACACACACACAGTTTGAGATCTTCCTTATAGATAACTCTAAGTTGTCGATGAAGTAGGTCAACGGCATTACCAAAAAAAAAAAGAAATATTTGGGGTACACGGTTTGTTCCTTAGAGCTGTAAGCTAATGAGCCACATAGGGGAGTACCCTAGGAGTTATTATAGTGGTGGAAATTCCCCTGAGCCCTGTGTGATGTTACGAGCTGTACCCCGGGACTGTTGATGGACTTAAACACAGACCTGCCTCAGGCTCACCTGTCCATCACCCTCACCGATTCCTCTCAACTGAAAAACAGTGGGGTGATTTGTCTGACAGAAAATAACCCTGTCTTCCTGCTGCTATCCTATAACGCTGTTGTAGCATCTCTTACAAACCTGTTGCAGCTTCCATCCTTTCAGGAATACATGTAATCCAACTATACATATACTAGGTTCAGGCAACAGGCAACCTCTATTGCAGTACTCATGAGCAGTGAGCACATTATATGCATACTTGGGAAAGAGGATTGCTGCGAACCACACCTGATGAAAAACACCTGTAATACCAAACTCCTTCCTAATCCTGCAGCAAAAGTTTAATCAGCAACCTGCTGATTAAACTGACACCAATTTAGTCTCCTCTCACTCTCACCTGCTATGAAAAGAGAATCACAACACTTGATTTTGATTTCTCAGGCCTATAGACAACACATGATTACTGCTGTTTGAAAAGTGACAATCGAAGCCAGCCAGCTGCAGCTGACAGGGATCACAGCAGAGCAGAGCAGATAGAGGCTGCATGCCTAGTCTACACCAATATTACAAGTCTCATCAGTCAAATCACAACTGACATTAACAGGATCTACACTGAGAAAGTAGGCCTTCCTTTGTCTTGGTGAAATTTTTAAACACCATGTGACATGCAAAATACTTTTTGTTAAAAAGAAAAATCGGTTAAATTGAATTCTTCATGCTGTTATGATTATATTTGCTCTTTTTTTTAAATTATTAATTGCCATTGATATCTGGGGTTGAGGACTAAAACACTGAAAGAATAAAAAGTAATGATTGAATAAAAGGAAGATTAAAAAATCTAATAAAACAGAGGTTAAGTCCAGTAGAAAGGGCGCAGAGTAAATGATTAGTCTTGATGTTAAACGGTGGTGTGTAGGACAGAACGGGCCTAGCCCTGCTCAACACGAAACAGATTGGCCCAAGATTACATCATAGACCTCTGTTATGAATTAGCTTGATTAGGCCACTATGAAATTGGATTTATGCACGGGAGAGAGCGCTGGGAAACCTCTGGATTGATTTAATTGATTTCAAATTGGATTATCTGAAGTTTTTTAATCATATGCCAACAAGCATCTTCAATCAGATGTAGCCTAATCTTTAACATAACGGGTCGGGCGTGGGAAATTCACATCGATAAACTACTCATGATTTATGATTTAAGGCAGTAAATGAAGGCGTTCCTACCTGAATCCACCAGTCTGGAAGCCACGAGGAGAAGCAAATAGTTTTCAAACATTTCGGTGACCTTGGCGGTAGATCCTTTAGATACCCAGTCTTTTTCCATTAACTTATACCAGACGGCTGAACATCGACTAAGTTTTTACAACCTTGATCCACATGCTCTTTCTCGGCCCCAATAATTTAGTATTCAGACTGGGATTTTTGTAAATAAAGTCTACAATGCACAATATACCGCTAATATCCTATGCAGTAGCAGCTGCGTAGAATTATGACAGAATCAACATGCACCTGCATTTCACACTGACATGATAAATAGTCATAATATGGCAGAAAATTATATAGGCAATACCATTCTCAAAATGCATGATTGAATGGGCTCACTTGAATAATAAAGGATCTCAGTGAAATCATGACTGAACATGAAGATAATATATTTCACGACGCAAGGATCAAGGCACTATTCTAAATATTGGTGCAGTGTGTGTGTGTGTGATATCCTATAAATTGAATGATAAGTAGGACTAAAGTCTAACTGCATTTTTTTTTTTAAAGGCTTCCAAGCAAACTGGATGGCATGTTATTCATCCTCGCACACAGTAGCCTATGAGTGTCACATGTGTTCTCACCAAATTGTACTTTAAAACACAAGTGCAATTTTGGCTAATTAATTGAATGAACACGATGCCTAATAGACTTGACAGTTACGCACATGGACAGAAATGCAAGAATGTAACAATAGGCTATTAGAATGAATAAATACATTATCTTTAAATGTGACATTTAAAATTGTGAAATTAAATAGTGTGTTTTTGTTGCGCAATTATTTTGGTTTTAAATGTTAATTAATTATTGGATAAATATGCCCAAAACATTCACATATAAAGGTGTGATAATAACCATGAAAGTACTTTTGATTTTTCATGCCATCAGTGAGTCCTTATAAAGAAAGTTATTCTGCACTTTTGATTTTTCAGGTTCTTGCAGCTAGTGCTTAAAAATCATACCATTCCATCCCTCTTGCAAAGATCAAAAAGTGGTTTGCAATGAAACATAAATACTTGTTTAGAATATACCTTGCTTGCTCCAGTATCACACTGTAAACATGTAAATTCATCCTAATAATTGCCCGTGATAATGGTAATTTAATCCGGTATTTTATATACAAAATTCCCACATTTAGGCAATTATCAATTGATCTATAAGGTGATCATACTCACGTCGTATTGTTTCTCTTTGCGACAGTGATAGGTGCTGAGGGTTCCCCTGCTTGCGACGGGACATTGCCCCTGCATCTACTCTGGCATCGCCAGGAAAACTGCGCTTGGGGTCGGCTTGCTCCGTGGTGCTCCGCTGGTCTGGTGCCGGGTAACTTTATCAAATTGCTTCCAATTGAGACGACTAACATAAAACTACTGTAAGTGAAAAAGACCCTAGTGGGTTTTTATTGTAGTTGTTGAAAGGCGGGTAAAAACGTTGGTCAACTGTCCAGTCCTCTTTTCGCAGAATTACTTCACCCTAAACTCAACACCTGGAGTGGTCAAGCTGTTGGAGTTACAACAGACACATGCAGGTTCAAGCAAATATTTCTGTTCGGTTATTTCGTGTCAATAACAGCAACGGACTTATTGCAATATTTGCAGAGAATAAAGACTATTTCAATTCCGACGAGGGGCCCTCTGCAGCGCGTTCACACCTGGGGTAGCGTACGGTGCATGCCACTCTTCGCTCGATGGGTCAATATTCGATTCAACTGTCACCTCTTCTCCTCTGTTATTTTCTTGCAGAATTAGAAAAAATTGCCTATTAATTCAATAACTGCACCTCCAAAATTCCACCGGTGTTGGTTCTGCCAGGTGATGTGAGCTTTGGCACCATTCAGTCCTCGCTGTGCGAGTCTTGGCAAGGAATGGCACGGAACTCTCCGCTCTAGGAGTTGAGAGGGGAGACGGAGAAAGACTACAGCACAGCCAGCCAGACAGACACCTCCTATTTTTCTCCTTCCAACCAGCGGAGGTCCAGTGTTTCCTAATGTCTCATTCCCTTTTCACAGTGACGAGTCTGTCCTATCGCTTTGGGAGGACCCCGCGTGTGTGTGTGTCTGGGATTGCCTCCGTAGAATGGGATAAAACTTCAAATTCAAGTGCGGACGTGACGTTGTGTCCACGCTGAGTGAGACATCAGAGCGACTTGGGGGGCAGTGGGGGCGACTAGCGGTGATTCGCGCGACCATTGGTGGGCTATCGTTAGTGCGCGCGTTTGGCGCGTGCGGGAAGGAATCAAGTGGACATGGAGAGGGGGAAACCAAAGCAACCCGTGCATATGCAGCGCAGACGAACCGTTCCAAATTGGTTTCACAATGATATGATGGCATATCATGTAACGGATTTCAAGGTGGATTTTGAAAAAGCTTTAAACTGTCAGTAAGGCTACTTTGAGTCTGAGTAATTATTTGAAGACTGGCGTTAAGCATTACGCATTGAAGTGACTTGCTCCAAATTCGATTATCTTCAACATTCAATACCGACATTGGCTTTTCGTAAATGCTATAGCAATGTTTCCTTAAGGCTAAGTTAATCACTAATGCAGTGTTTCAGTTGTTTATAATTTTGCTAATATGTCGGCTAGAACAAGACACATAGGCCTACAGAACAAATGCCGAGCCAAAAAGAACGTTATGCTATAATTAGCCTACTTGAGGCATTAATGCAATAATAATAAACAATAAATAAAAATATACATTGTTGTCAGGACAATATATTTAATGTTGTGCATTTGTAACGATTCTTGAATTAATTGATTAATTGAGGTAGCAAACGTTTAAAAAATAACTGGGAAAGCAATCCATTGCTACAATAGACAGACATACTGCACAGTTATGTCAAAGGGGGACTTCTCCCCTGTGTTTGTCTGTGATCTACATATTGATCTCTGCCTTGTTGTGAAGCAACAGTACCCTCTGTTGGCATGACTACGTTAGACTATATGCCTAACATTCCCCTGTATCTGTGTCTTTGATCATTGGATTTCATTGTATAACACATGCATTATTAGCTAGTGGTTCAGAACAGTTGACCTCTCAAATGTCAAATTTCCTCACCACATTTTTCATTTAAATGTCACTTAAATTGCCATAATAGTGATCTCTATACCACCATGCACAATTCCTATTTTGACAGGATGGTCAGGTCAGTCAAGTACCAATGAACAGTATTAGGGCCTCCTTGAGAAAAACCAAATTTAATAACATCAAAGTTTAATGCTGTCTGGTCATCATCAATTGCATGATGAAACTAAATGATCCACTTGAGAGACATGATATAAAGGCACCAGATTCACTTAGAGGCGATTAATGGGTCACTTAATAGCCAATTATTCCAGCCTGTGTAATATTATTTTAGATCAATGCATGCACTTAAACAGTTTAAGTGCTTCCTGCATGTAGATTTCCATTCCACGGCCTTTCCTTCGGAATATCCAGTCCATGCCCCAACTAGTGTAAAAGAAGGAGCATCTTCCTATCTAATGTAGTATAATCTAAGAAGGCTCCTATAGGCTACTATCATATGAAGTTGCTATTATGGTACAATTAAGTCTGATCAAATTAAAATTAACTTAATGTGGACACAATTTCCATTTAGGCTTAATCGAGGCAATGCTGCACTGCTGCTAGACTGTTTATTATAGGCTGCTATAAATATTATATGAAGGCCAATTTTAAGAGCATTATAAGTCGGATCGCTTGAGGCCAGGCCTACGGGACTTCCGGGACACTAATTATTTATACAAATGAAACGTCGTATCAGCTCCGTCTCAAATCGACATAACCTCAAAAGAACCTAACATGGAAATAGTGTATGGAGAGAGAGAGCGAGCGAGAGAGACAGAGACAGATAGACAGACTGACAGAGAGAGAGACAGAGGAAGAGAGAGAGAGAGAGAGAGAGAGAAGAGAGAGAGAGAGAGAGAGAGAGAGAGAGAGAGAGAGAGAGAGAGAGAGAGACGAGAGAGGAGAGAGAGAGAGGAGAGAGAGAGAGAGAGAGAGAGAGAGAGGAGAGAAGAGAGAGAGAGAGAGAGATGAGAGGAGAGAGAGAGAGAGACGAGAGAGAGAGAGGAGAGAGGAGGAGGAGGAGAATGAGAGAGAGAGAGAGAGAGAGAGACCTCTGTAGATGCATCATATTTGCTGGAAGACAACAACTCTAAAGTTAAACACTCTTACCATGATCCCTCCGGCTCCCTGAGTCCCAGCTCGCTGATGTTCACCCCTTGGGTTCCTCAATAATACATCAGTATAGCTCCATGAAATGGTTTCGGGCGAAGACAGTTATAGCCCGGTAGCTTCGGTACAAGACACCATAACATCCTGCATGTAGGCCTCCTGTAGCTCAGTTGGTAGAGCATGGCGCTTGCAACGCCAGTGTTGTGGGTTCGATTCCCACGGGGGGCCAGTATGAAAAATGTATGCACTCACTAACTGTAAGTCGCTCTGGATAAGAGCGTATGCTAAATGACTAAAATGTAAATGTAATGTGGACACATAAGGTTTTAAGTCCAAAGAGTTGCTTCTGAGGAGACGTGTGTTGCGTGTCAGGGCTGTGTGAGTCAGGAAAAAACCACGAGAGTTGAGTAACTGAAATACTGGAGGGCATTCAACACAGGGATTGGGAAATGACTGTAAACCTAAGGGCATAAGGAGTTTACAATAAGGGCTAAGAATGTAATGTTTGGTCAGAGAAAGGCTATTGAATCGGAACAGAAAATAAGTGCATTAACGCAATTTGCCAATGAAAATGTCCAAAGAACATGGGATCTGTACGGAGTCCCAATTGTAATAGCAGAGCAGACAAGTGCAATGTGTTTCTAAGTGAAATAATTTACATCATGTTAAAAAGGACAATGACACAACAAAGTGAGGTCCACTGTAGGGACATATCACGGTTAATATGAATATTGCTCTGGGATTTGCGTATAGTGCCTCATTATGCGGGGTTTAATATTAATAAAGAGGATAGGAGTATATTATTCATGAGATGATTTACTTACTGTGTGTATGTGTGTGGGTGTGTCTGTGTGTGTATGTGTGTGTGTGTGTGTGTGTGTGTGTGTGTGTGTGTGTGTGTGTGTGTGTGTGTGTGTGTGTGTGTGTGTGTGTGTGTGTGTGTGTGTGTGTGTGTGTGTGTGTGTGTGTGTGTGTGTGTGTGTGTGTGTGTGTGTGTGTGTGTGTGTGTGTGTGTGTGTGTGTGTGTATCTATCCCACAGCCTAAATGACAGGTTGAGATTTCTTGCTAAGGGCAATACAATAAAAAACCAGATAAGGCTTCTGACAGCACACAAATCAAAATCAAATGTTGATTTGTCACATGCGCCGAATACAACAGAATTCACCTTACAGTGAAATGCTTACTTACAAGCCCTTAACCAACAATGCAGTTTTAAGAAAAATATTTAAGTAAAAAAATAAAAAATAATTAAAGAGCAGCAGTAAAATAACAGTAGCGAGGCTATATACAGGGGGTACCGGTACAGAGTCAATGTGCGGGGGCACCAATTAGTCGAGGTAATTGAGGTAATATGTACATGCAGGTAGAGTTAAAGTGACTATGCATAGATAATAAACAGGGGGGGGGGGGGGGGGGGGGTCAATGCAAATAGTCTGGGAAGCCATTTGATTAGATGTTCAGGAGTCTTATGGCGTGGGGGTAGAAGCTGTTAAGAAGCCTTTTGGACCTAGACTTGGCGCTCCGGTACCGCTTGCCGTGCGGTAGCAGAGAGAACAGTCTATGACTAGGGTGGCTGGAGTCTTTGACAATTTTTAGGGCCTTCCTCTGACACCGCCTAATATAGAGGTCCTGGATGGCAGGAAGCTTGGACCCGGTGATGTACTGGGCCGTACGCACTACAATGTGACGACTCTTCCTACAGTTAAAAGGCTTTGTCCAAGAAGGGATTAATAATACATGCAGATTCCAGATTTTAATTGGGATGAAAGTAAATTATTCAATGCTGTCTTTTTGTTCTCTGAGAGATGGTAGGGAGGCTATTGGGAGCCTATTGCCTCATGTTCTTACACACAAAACTACACACATTAGTTGTGACAAGGGCAATTTATCTCCTCCCTTCAACCAAATGCAGATTTCAGGAGAAAATAAAATCTGGTGATGTTTTTGAGTGAAACTTGAGTGATGGGGAGTTTAAGTTCAAGGTTTCAACATTATTGTCCCAGGGGGCAACTGGTGTTGCAGCAAAGAGCATAAAAAACAACATTGAACATATCTGATCACAATTACACAGTTATAGGGAATATGATGAGGGGAAAGAGTTCGAGTTTCACCATTCTAGTCAACTCTGAAATTGTGAGCGCAAACACATGGCCCAATATGGACTGATATATTTGCCAAATCTATAAAAGTTGACTGTTTATCCCACTAAAATTATTAAAATATACAAATTCATCCATTCACCTATAAATTCATTTATTCATGCAATGATTCATTCGTGCATCCATCCATTCATGAATTCTGAATTACCATTGAGCTCCTCCACATGGAGAAATAGAGGGGTCATCTCCATTAGTAGTTCTCTCTTGCCCTCTAGTGGATCATTTTTGTCCACATTTATCACTCTATTGTGTAGTGCGTGCATAGAGAACAGTAAAATTGTAGACAGCAATTGGAGGCGTTTTCTGATATAGGCGTTTCTTGATATCAAGTTACACCCATTGACCACAGTCTCCTAACCTACCACTCTAATTCACCTAACCTACCACGCTAATTCACCTAACCTGCCACCTTAGTTATCCTAACCTGCTATGTAAACAAATCATCTGTGTCAAGAAACCAACCGTCTCGTAACACCGGAACTGACCAATGGCAGGTTTCAGGGAACACCCACATTAAGAAACGCCCCGGATATCGTTCTGCAATTACACCATATTTCACGCACACTACTCCTCTCACCTGCTGGACCGCGATTTAATTTTCATTGTTAATGTTATTATTTTTCTTGGAAGATTCTTTATCAATAAAATGAAGTGTTTAAGATAGAACTGAAACATTATTTTGAAATGATCAGTGAATGTAAAAAGAAAAAAGCAGTATGTATCATAAAACTTTTTGACAAATATATATATATATTTTTTTTTTTACATGAAATACCCTTGTCTACGTTAGGTTTATGTACCCTTGTCTGTATATTTATGTTTTTGTATTTGTGCTATTGTTCATAATAATAATAAAACCCCTCGCAGCTTCTCACGTATAACAAAATGGCGGCGCCCATGTTACAATGGGGACTGTTGTCGGTGACTAATTCAATCTAAATATAAAACGATTATTTCATCGATTGTTGATATTGTTACTCATTATAAAGCCTACATGATAAAGGTAAGCGTCCTTCTTTTCAGATTGCAGATTTTAGACAACCTACGTTTGACATGCGTGTATTTTGGATTGATTGAAAAGTCATTAGCCTCGACGGAGTGCTAGCTAACGTTAGCTAAAGTTAGTTTTAGCAAGTTAGTTATCTACAGTAGCTAGCTTGCAACTTCGGCCTGAAAGCTAGTAAGCTAGCTAGTTAGGTAACGTTAGCTTACAACAACGTTATTTAGCACAAGCTTTCAACTGTGGTCAGAGAGATCAAATAGATATATTGTCAAAACTGTTATTTCTTCCATGTAAATTAGTTAATCCATGCACCTCATGCGTAGACAACTGTTGTTAGCTACCTAGTTCTGTAACTATAGTTAGGTAATATTCACCGTCATTTAATATGATCAATTCAATGGCTACTACCACGACTTATTTATTAGTCTAACTTCCCAAACTGTTTATAGCTACTGTAAAATAAGCTAGATGATAACTTTAGCCAGCTAGCTTGCTAACTAGCAACCTATTTCTTCATGAAATATGACAATACTTTACACCATTCATTCATGCTGTCTTCGCTGTGAATCATCCCGTTATCATCCCCCTCTCCTCCTTTGCAAGTCATCTAGTTCAGCGGGTCCATCATCCTCTTCTCACCAGATGAAGGAAAACAACCACCCCTCCAGTGGTCAGGCCTTCCTGGACCATATCAAGCCATGCTGGTACTGGGACAAAAAGGACCTGGCCCACACCCCGTCCCAGTCCGAGGGCCTGGACCCGGCCACAGAGGCCCGGTACCGCAGGGAGGGGGCCCGGTTCATCTTTGATGTGGGGACCAGACTTGGACTGTATCCTTTTACGGGCTAGATATTTGATCTTTGGGCTGTGAACTTTGTGGAACATTCTCACCTCTGCAGCATTTGACACAGTCCTGTCATAGCCCCATCATCTGGTTGATCATTTTTTTGGGTGTTAGACAGTTAGCGAGATTTTGACTTCACCCAAAGTTATGTGGCTTTGTCAAGTTCACCCTTAACTCTGTCATCAGACATTATGACACCCTGGCAACAGGTATCATATACTTCCACCGTTTCTACATGTTTCACTCTTTCAAACAGTTCCCCAGATATGTGAGTATTTTGGTAAAGAATTCTGTGATGTGCACTGAACCTGTCACATTTACATTTAGCAGACACTCTTATCCAATGCGACTTACAATGCTACGCTTGTACAATAATTTGCCTTCAAGAATCAAAATAATTGTTCACGGTCATCTTGTCAACTTCAATCTCAGTGGTGCATTCTTAGAGGTACTGCCTAATGTCTTGGTATTAAATGGTGTGTGAGACCTGTGTATTGTGTATCTACAGGTGACCGGTGCGTGTTGTCTCTTCCTGGCTGGGAAAGTGGAGGAGACTCCTAAGAAATGTAAAGACATCATCAAGACGGCTCGCAGCTTACTGAACGACGTACAGTTTGCGCAGTTTGGAGACGACCCAAAGGTGAGATGTCTTACTTCCTTCACTTCTCTTCACTTCTCCCTCTGTCCTCTGCCCTCTGCCCTCTGCCCTCTGTCCTCTGCCCTCTGCCCTCTGCCCTCTGTCCTCTGCCCTCTGCCCTCTGCCCTCTGCCCTCTGCCCTCTGCCCTCTGCCCTCTGCCCTCTGCCCTCTGCCCTCTGCCCTCTGCCCTCTGCCCTCTGCCCTCTGCCCTCTGCCCTCTGCCCTCTGCCCTCTGTCCTCTGCCCTCTGCCCTCTGCCCTCTGCCCTCTGCCCTCTGTTTGTAGGTACAGTGACGTCCTGCTGTGTTTACAGGTACCCTTTCCACACGTGCTGACCCAAACCAAACTGCTGGCTCGATAATAGGCTATTTATTTTTATTTGGTGGGGGGGGGGGGGGGGGGGGGGTAGATCAGCTTTAATATTGCAGATAGATTGAGTGTAACTTCCATCAATGTAATTGTCTGCATTTCCAATCCTTCATATATATTTTTGTAAATATATTTATATACAGTGCCTTCAGAAAGTATTCAGACCCCTTTACTTTTTACACATTTTCTGACGTTAGTCTTATTCTAAAATGGACTACAAAAATGTTTTCCCTCATCAATCTACACACAATACCCCGTAATGACAAAGCAAAAAGTGGTTGTTAGAAATTTTTGCAAATTTATTCAAAATAAAAACAGTTACCTTATTTGGTTTGTTTTTAGTCCTGTCTTTCCACTACCCTCAACCCCTCCCATCTATTTCTGATGTCCATCCAGTTTGATTTCTATTTGCCATATATTTTTTAACTGTGCTGTGATGCATCACAAAAGTTCTGAACCTTTCTATTCTCATAGTTTCTACAGATTGTAAATTAAAGATAAACATTTTTGCTAAAATTATTATAATATTATTGATTGATTTGACTATGACTTTTCAAATCACCCAGTATTGCTATCTGCAGAGTTAGCTCCAGGTAAATATTGCAATTCTTCAGCCATTCCTGGACCTGTGACCAAAAACAAGTTACATATGGACAGTACCAAAATAAATGATCTAATGACTCTGTCTCTTCGCAGCAAACTCTGTAGAGCTGGGAAGATTGTATCCCCAATATAAACAGTGAGGGAAAAAAGTATTTGATCCCCTGCTGATTTTGTACGTTTGCCCACTGACAAAGAAATGATCAGTTTATAATTTTAATGGTAGGTTTATTTGAACAGTGAGAGACAGAATAACAACAACAAAATCCAGAAAAACACATGTCAAACATTTTATAAATTGATTTGCATTTTAATGAGGAAAATAAGTATTTGACCCCCTCTCAATCAGAAAGATTTCTGGCTCCCAGGTGTCTTTTATACAGGTAACGAGCTGAGATTAGGAGCACACTCTTAAAGGGAGTGCTCCTAATCTCAGTTTGTTACCTGTATAAAAGACACCTGTCCACAGAAGCAATCAATCAATTAGATTCCAAACTCTCCACCATGGCCAAGACCAAAGAGCTCTCCAAGGATGTCAGGGACAAGATTGTAGACCTACACAAGGCTGGAATGGGCTACAAGACCATCGCCAAGCAGCTTGGTGAGAAGGTGACAACAGTTGGTGCGATTATTCGCAAATGGAAGAAACACAAAATAACTGTCAATCTCCCTCGGCCTGGGGCTCCATGCAAGATCTCACCTCGTGGAGTTGCAATGATCATGAGAACGGTGAGGAATCAGCCCAGAACTACACGGGAGGATCTTGTAAATGATCTCAAGGCAGCTGGGACCATAGTCACCAAGAAAACAATTGGTAACACACTACGCCGTGAAGGACTGAAATCCTGCAGCGCCCGCAAGGTCCCCCTGCTCAAGAAAGCACATATACAGGGCCGTCTGAAGTTTGCCAATGAACATCTGAATGATTCAGAGGAGAACTGGGTGAAAGTGTTGTGGTCAGATGAGACCAAAATCGAGCTCTTTGGCATCAACTCAACTCGCCGTGTTTGGAGGAGGAGGAATGCTGCCTATGACCCCAAGAACACCATCCCCACCGTCAAACATGGAGGTGGAAACATTATGCTTTGGGGGTGTTTTTCTGCTAAGGGGACAGGACAACTTCACCGCATCAAAGGGACGATGGACGGGGCCATGTACCGTCAAATCTTGGGTGAGAACCTCCTTCCCTCAGCCAGGGCATTGAAAATGGGTCATGGATGGGTATTCCAGCATGACAATGACCCAAAGCACACGGCCAAGGTAACAAAGGAGTGGCTCATGAAGAAGCACATTAAGGTCCTGGAGTGGCCTAGCCAGTCTCCAGACCTTAATCCCATAGAAAATCTGTGGAGGGAGCTGAAAGTTTGAGTTGCCAAACATCAGCCTCAAAACCTTAATGACTTGGAGAAGATCTGCAAAGAGGAGTGGAACAAAATCCCTCCTGAGATGTGTGCAAACCTGGTGGCCAACTACAAGAAACGTCTGACCTCTGTGATTGCCAACAAGGGTTTTGCCACCAAGTACTAAGTCATGTTTTGCAGAGGGGTCAAATACTTATTTCTCTAATTAAAATGCAAATCAATTTATAACATTTTTGACATGCGTTTTTTTCTGGATTTTGTTGTTGTTATTCTGTCTCTCACTGTTCAAATAAACCTACCATTAAAATTATAGACTGATCATTTCTTTGTCAGTGGGCAAACATACAAAATCAGCAGGGGATCAAATACCTTTTTTCCTCACTGTATATAACATTCTATTGGTTGCAAGAATTTTGTATAATAGGCTATTCTTTTCACATTGTACTTTTCAGCACAGTTACCTCAATTATGGTGGATGCTTAACCAGGCTAGCTCAGTACAGCTTGGTTTGGTAGTAGTGTGAAAAGTCCTTGTGTTTCCTTACTTTATGCTCTTGTTTGGGTCCTGGGATGTGTCGTAGGATTTCCGCCATCAACAGGAAGAGGTGATGGTGCTAGAGAGGATTCTGCTACAGACAATCAAGTTTGACCTGCAGGTGGAGCACCCTTACATGTTCCTCCTGAGATACGCCAAGCAGCTCAAAGGTGTGAAAGGTGGTGTTAACGTCTTAGTTTGACTTCATTTTCCAACTGTCATTTCCAAACTCTTTTATTTTGAAGTTGTTACTATTATGCCGTAAGCTCCTCTCCAAACAGCACTACTGAAGGTCCTGTCTTGGCCACGCCAGGCATCGATGTGATGAAGGTCCTGTCTTGGCCACGCCAGGCATCGATGTGATGAAGGTCCTGTCTTGGCCACGCCAGGCATCGATGTGATGAAGGTCCTGTCTTGGCCACGCCAGGCATCGATGTGATGAAGGTCCTGTCTTGGCCACGCCAGGCATCGATGTGATGAAGGTCCTGTCTTGGCCACGCCAGGCATCGATGTGATGAAGGTCCTGTCTTGGCCACGCCAGGCATCGAGTTGAGGTCCTGGAATGTGATGAAGGTCCTGTCTTGGCCACGCCAGGCATCGATGTGATGAAGGTCCTGTCTTGGCCACGCCAGGCATCGATGTGATGAAGGTCCTGTCTTGGCCACGCCAGGCATCGATGTGATGAAGGTCCTGTCTTGGCCACGCCAGGCATCGATGTGATGAAGGTCCTGTCTTGGCCACGCCAGGCATCGATGTGATGAAGGTCCTGTCTTGGCCACGCCAGGCATCGATGTGATGAAGGTCCTGTCTTGGCCACGCCAGGCATCGATGTGATGAAGGTCCTGTCTTGGCCACGCCAGGCATCGATGTGATGAAGGTCCTGTCTTGGCCACGCCAGGCATCGATGTGTCCCTCTTATGCAATTGTGAAAAACGTCAGTTTTTTTTCTCGTTCTAGGTGACAAAACCAAAGTTCAGAAGCTGGTGCAGATGGCATGGACCTTCGTCAACGACAGGTGGGGCGTAACATAACGTAACGTAACACAGTAGTTTGGACTGTCACTTCTCACTATCTATATCCCTGTGTTTCCTGTTTCCTGTCATGTATGCTGTAGGTGCCTCCCCTTACAGTGGTCGGTTTTCACCTTCTCCTCTTACAATATTCATTGAATAGTATTGTAGGTCTGCATTTTCCTCCACATCTAAACGGTTCTCTCTGTTCCTACCTCCAGTCTGTGCACCATGCTGTCCCTGCAGTGGGAACCAGAGATCATAGCAGTAGCAGTCATGTACCTGGCTGGACGGCTGTGTAAGTTTGACATCCAGGAGTGGACGTCCAAGCAGTCTTCACGGCGATGGTGGGAGCAGTTTGTACAGGACGTCCCAGTGGAGCTGCTAGAAGGTATAGCGTCAACGTCTCTTTTCTCTTTACATTGATAAACCTCCCTGACACATATTTAAGACAGTGACTCCCAAAATGCCCAGTTTTGCACCATTGAGAGCGTCTTGACTGGCTGCATCACTGCTTGGTATGGCAACTGCTTGGCATCCGACCGGAAGGCGCTACAGAGGGTAGTGAGTACGGCCCAGTACATCACTGGGGCCAAGCTTCCTGCCATCCAGGACCTCTATACCAGGCGGTGTCAGAGGTAGATCCTAAAAATGTTAAAAGACTCCAGCCACCCAAGTCATAGACTGTTCTCTCTGCTACAGCAAGCGGTACCGATGCACCAAGTCTGTAATGAACAGGACCCTGAACAGCTTCTACCCCCAAGCCATAATACTGCCATAAATAGTTAACCAAATAGTTACTCTGACTATCTGCATTGACCGTTTCTGCACCAACTCTTTTGACTCATCACATACGCTGTTGCTACTGTTTATTATCTATCCTGTTGCCTAGTCACTTTAACCCACCTATATGTACATATCTACCTTGTACCCCTGCACATCGACTCGGTACAGGTACTCTATGTATATAGCCATGTTATCGTTACTCATTGTGTATTTATTCATTGTGTTATTATTTTTAGAAATTTTTTTTCTCTCTGCATTGTTGGGAAGGGCCCATAAGTGAGCATATCACTGTTAGTCTACACCTGTTGTTTACCAAGCATTTAACAAATACCTTTTGATTTGAGACATGATACTTGTCGTAGCCATTAGCCAGGATTTGGGAGACACTGGTGTAAAGGTTACAAGTTCTGCTCATGTTCGTACTCCTATTGAGTCCTTATGACCCCTTCCTTCAACGCTGATCGGAGAAATGGATAGAAAAGAACTGTAGCTCCTATCTGTATATCATACCTAACCCCTGTCCACTGCTGGCATCTCCTCCCAGACATCTGTCACCAGATCCTGGACCTGTACTCCCAGGGGAAGACCCCCATCCCCCCGGGTCTGGAGCAGGAGACCAAACAGAGAGTACCCCCCCAGCCCCCTGGCCCTGCTCCTGCTCCTCCTCCTGGCCCAGCCCCCACACAGCCTCCAGGGTGTGTCCCACCACCCCCTCCACCCAAGAGGAACTCCCCCCAAGGCAGCCCCCCACGCCGTCTCAAACGCCCACATGTGAGTGATGGCAGTGTGTCTGTGTTGTCCTTGTATTTGTCAGCTTGTGATAAATGAAATGTCATTCTCTGTGGATCATAAATAGTCTGAGGAGTATCCATGGCTAACACAATAGGTAATAGACAATAAAAACTGTATATTTCGAAATACCGACAGTATGATTTATAATTAAACTCAGCAAAAAAAGAAACGTCCTCTCACTGTCAACTGTGTTTATTTTCAGCAAACTTAACATGTATAAATATTTGTATGAACATAACAAGATTCAACAACTGAGATATAAACTGAACAAGTTCCACAGACATGTGACTAACAGAAATGGAATAATGTGTCCCTGAACAAAGGGGGGGTCAAAATCAAAAGTAACAGTCAGTATCTGGTGTGGCCACCAGCTGCATTAAGTACTGCAGTGCATCTCCTCCTCATGGACCAGATTTGCCAGTTCTTGCTGTGAGATGTTACCCCACTCTTCCACCAAGGCATCCACAAGTTTCCGGACATTTCTGGGGGGAATGGCCCTAGCCCTCACCCTCCGATCCAACAGGTCCCAGACGTGCTCAATGGGATTGAGATCCGGGCTCTTCGCTGGCAATGGCAGAACACTGACATTCCTGTCTTGCAGGAAATCACACACAGAACGAGCAGTATGGCTGGTGCATTGTCATGCTGGAGGGTCATGTCAGGATGAGCCTGCAGGAAGGGTACCACATGAGGGAGGAGGATGTCTTCCCTGTAACGCACAGCGTTGAGATTGGCTGCAATGACAACAAGCTCAGTCCGATGATGCTGTGACACACCGCCCCAGACCATGACGGCCCTCCACCTCCAAATTGATCCCGCTCCAGAGTACAGGCCTCGGTGTAACGCTCATTCCTTCGACGATAAACGCAAATCCGACCATCACCCCTGGTGAGACAAAACCGTGACTCGTCAGTGAAGAGCACTTTTTGCCAGTCCTGTCTGGTCCAGCGACGGTGGGTTTGTGCCCGTAGGCGACGTTGTTGCCAGTGATGTCTGGTGAGGACCGGCCTTACAACAGGCCTACAAGCCCTCAGTCCATTCTCTCTCAGCTTATTGTGGACAGTCTGAGCACTGATGGAGGGATTGTGCGTTCCTGGTGTAATTCGGGCAGTTGTTGTTGCTATCCTGTACCTGTCCCGCAGGTGTGATGTTCGGATGTACCGATCCTGTACAGGTGTTGTTACACGTGGTCTGCCACTGCGAGGACAATCAGCTGTCCGTCCTGTCTCCCTGTAGCGCTGTCTTAGGCGTCTCACAGTACGGACATTGCAATTTATTGCCCTGGCCACATCTGCAGTCTTCATGCCTCCTTGCAGCATGCCTAAGCTACGTTCACGCAGATGAGCAGGGACCCTGGGCATCTTCCTTTTGGTGTTTTTCAGAGTCAGTAGAAAGGCCTCTTTAGTGTCCTAAGTTTTCATAACTGTGACCTTAATTGCCTACCGTCTGTAAGCTGTTAGTGTCTTAACGACCGTTCCACAGGTGCATGTTCATTAATTGTTTATGGTTCATTGAACAAGCATAGGAAACAGTGTTTAAACCCTTTACAATGAAGATCTGTGAAGTTATTTGGATTTTTACGAATTATCTTTGAAAGACAGGGTCCTGAAAAAGGGACGTTTCATTTTTTGCTGAGTTTATAAGTTAAGTATAACTATAAGAAATCTAAGATGTGATAAATAAATGATCTCCAGCTCAGGGCTCCAGCTATGCATCTGGTTTGCTAACTTGCTAGTTAAGTGGCTACATGTCAAGGCAAGCTTGGTGACAGCAGAGGCATTCAATCCCTTCCTGGATCAAGATCCCTGTTGCCTAAATTGTTTTGTGCGTAATAGCGCCCCCTTGTGTGCACATTCTGTAATACCATGTACCCCGGTATGGTACACAAACTGTATGTTGGTATGAAAATCTGGATACCGCCCAACCCTAACAGCTAACCTCCAATAACATAGCTTGTGTGTGTGGTAGTTTGTTTTCATTCCTCAAGTGGTCTAAAGTTGGACATGGAGCTGGAAGCAGCAGAGTCTTCTTTGATTTTCTATTTTTTGTTGTGCTTTTTTATCCCTTTTTATCCCCAATTTGGTGATATCCAATTGGTAGTTAGTCTTGTCCCATCGCTGCAAGAGCCGTGCGTCCTCCGAAACACGACCCCGCCAAGCCGCACTGCTTCTTGACAAACTGCTCGCTTGACCCGGAAGCACCAATGTGTCGGCGGAAACACCGTACTGCTGGCGCCCGAAGTCAGCGCGCATGCGCCCGGCCCGCCACAAGGAGTCGCAAGAGCGCGATGGGACAAGGACATCCCGGCCGGCCAAACTGGGATGAAAGAAATAAAAGCTTAAATAAATCATTCTCTCTACTATTATTCTGACATTTCACATCCTTAAAATAAAGTGGTGATCCTAACTGACCCAAGACAGGGACTTTTTTACTAGGATTAAATGTCAGGAATTGTAATAAAAACTGAGTTTAAATGTATTTGGCTAAGGTGTATGTAAACTTCCGACTTCAACTGTATTATTTATTTCTGCCTTCTCAGAGCTCTCCAAAAGAGGAACCCAAACCTCCAGAACAAGTGGGTTGTAAGATTCCACGGTTGGAGAGCCCAATGCCCCCCCTGCCTACTTCACAACCCCCGCCTGGTGAGTGTCTTGCTACTCAGTAGGTTATATAACACCAGTAACTAGTGATCATCTTTATCTGGTCAGTTGTCATGATGGATGAAGTGGCATCTTTTTAATTTTGTGTGTTTTAATGAAGGACATAGTTTTAGTGAAGGGTCAAGGCAGCTTAGAGAGAACAACAGGCATCCCAATCTCTAGGCCTTCCTAGAATCCTGGTTATGTAACTAACAGTCCAGTCAGAACAGAACAGTCCAGCCCCTCCTTACCTCCTGCCCTGCCCTCTCAGACCAATCTGATTACTGCTTCAACTTGTTAACGAGTACTTTGCAGGAAGTGTATAGTCTATCTATGGGAATACAAGTAATTCCTGTCTGGGTTTTAAAGTGACAGTTGGGTCTCAGAAGTGCTGTCTTGTTGAACAGGAATGTCAAAGCTTCAACACTATGATTAGGATTGTGTTTAGTGGAAATCACCTTATTTCTCTTCTCACTCTCCTCTCCCCTCCGATCCTCTCCTCTCTTCTCCCTCTCTCAGATCGTAAGGCTCCCCCAGTCCCTCCTGAAGCTGAGCCAGCCGCGGGTAGCGAGCCCGTTCCCCCTCCCCCATCTCACGCTCCACCCCCCCACCAGCCCCCTCCCCTGCCCCACCGCCCCCCTCCTCCTCCCCCCTCTAGCTACATCATGGGCATGTCCACCTCTAGCTCCTACATGTCAGGGGAAGGCTTCCAGAGCCTTCAGTCTATAATGAAGACAGGGGAACCCTCCTACGCCCCCATGCCCCCCAACTACGGTCCCCCCATGCCCTATCACCCTCATGTCTACCCCAACGCCCCACCCCCAGGACCGCCACCCAGCACCTACCCACCCCCCAACCTGCCCCCTCCCTCCCCGGCCTACCCTCCACCAGGCTACAACCACAGCTACCCTGAGTACCCCCCTCCACGCATGCCCCCAGGACACGGGGTGCCACCTCCAGGGATGGGCATGCCTCCTGGGGGCTACCCCCCACCGCCAGGCCAGCCCCAGGTGCCCCTGCCACCCCCTGGCATGCCAATGAACCGTGGGGGATGGATGAGGTAAAAGGAGGAGTGGTAGAGGAGAGAGCGGAAGAGAGAGGAGGAGAATGAAAGAGTGAGAAGTAGAGGAATGTCTGAAGCTAGCAGTCCACTCCCTGTTGTCAGTCCAGAGACTGTAACTGTGCAGAACTTTAGCTGGGTCGTGTTCATTAGTCACCAAATGGAAGAAACTGACTGAGGGACTACCTGAACTTGTCCAGTAAGAAATACAAATGTTTCGCTTTCTGTTGCAAAACCGTTTGGTACATTGTGTCCTAATGAATATGATCCTGGAGTCCACTGGAGATGTCAACAAACAAAGGATTTTACCTCAGAGAGCCATGTCTGTTATTCTACATTGTCTTGGCTGCGTTGTGGAATCCCAGACATGTAAAGGTTACGACACCTGGAATATGTCCTACCATTCTGTATCACAGAGATTCTATCAGTTCCACATTCCTTTTGAGAAAGGCAGATGATATTGCATTATGGTTGAACATATTTTGAGACTCATTGAAAAGAAATATGTCATATTTAGACTGAAGGTCTGATTGATGCTTTAAAACCTGCTTGTTTTTGCTTAAATTTTTTGTCTGCATCGAAAAAGGAAATATTTTCAGTTCTGTGATAATTTACCGTGTGTGTGGAGAACAAGTTGCGTTAATCGCAGAAAATACCAAACACGTTTTTGTCTTATTTTTATTTAGCTGTGTGAATATTGGTTCATCTGTAAGATGTATTGAACCGGATGTAACCTGTATTATTAAAGTAGCACTTACACTGTTACTTGTAATAATCATGAGCTGAAAGACATTGGTAACCCATATCTGTCTCTAAACAGCAGGTTGATAGAACACTGGACAGGCCGGGTTGTATTTGTACATGATAAACTTACTAGGTGAAATCTGAGCGATGGATCTTTTTAGACTGCTTATATCCTTAGTGCCTTAGTTAATTAGGCTTTACTTTAACAGACAATTGCCTGCTCCCTCCCGACATATGCACACAAACACTTGCTTTTGTGTCTCATAGGCACTCGGAGATAATAAAACACATGTATAAGCTAGTGTTGTGGCTGTGTTGAATTATAGTCTGTGTTACCATACTGCCTAGACTCGTTCATCATGTGCGGAATCCTGGTGATTGAGGCTAGTGTTGTGTTCAGAACAGTGTTGTCTGTGTTGTTGCGTTCTTAAGTCTTCAGGTCAGGTGAAGTTCAAACTGACTGCTTTACAGGTCATGCGTGACCTTATTAACAATCAGCTTAACTGTTTTGTCTGTTAGTGACACCCACCTCTCCCCCCCCAAACACACATTTACTGACCAGTGACTTAGACTGTATCTGTGTCCATTTTGAATGTTTTCCCCAATACCGTCAGTCCCATTCTGTTAATCCACTTTGAAATGTTATTCCGTTTTCTCAGCAAAATACAGTACATTCACTAGCTTTACCAGCAGAGGGCAGGTTTGCTCAAGTTTTGAATTCCTGTCAATTCAATATGGAAGGGTGGCTCAAGTTCTGAATTCATGTACATTTATGTCATTTAGCAGACGGTCTTACCCAGAGCGACTTACAGGATCAATTAGGGTTAAGTGCCTTGCTCAAGGGCACATTGACAGACTTTTCACCTGGTCAGGTCGGGTGTTCGAACCAGCAACCATTCAGTTACTGTCCCAATGCTCTTAATAAGGATTGGACCATTTTTTGTTCATTTTTTGCCTAAAATGACATACCCAAATCTAACTGCCTGTAGCTCAGGACCTGAAGCAAGGATATGCATATTCTTGAGATCATTTGAAAGGAAACACTTTGAAGTTTGTGGAAATGTGAAATGAATGTAGAATATAACACATTAGATCTGGTAAAAGATAATACAAACAAAAAAACATGCGTTTTCTATTTTTTTGTTTTGTTGCATCTTTGGCCACAGTGATGTAGGATTCTACATGTAATTTAGATGTTGTCCACCAGATGGCAGCAGTGTGTATGCAACATTTCAGACTGATCCAGTGAAGAATTACATCACTACAGTTTTCCCAAATGTGCCGAATTGGTTTTCAAGTACTTAACTATAGAGAACATACAAAAATGCTATGGTAATACAAAATGTAAGTTTGCACACGCCCAGGAATGTCATAAATAATGGATCATTAGCTTCCCTACAGAAAATACACTAACATTCACACATCTAGATGGCCGGGTGGGTGTGGAGTCAGAGGTCAAACTGTAGAACCCAGCTCCTACATTTGAATATAAAAATTGATTTTTCAAGCAAAACTACACTACATTTCATCTCTGGGACCCTCAGGATTACGAATCAGAGCAGGATTACAGAATGTAAGTACATTATTTACCTTCAGAGGTGAATGTACCAAACCAGTTGCCGTGAGAAGTGTTTTGTTGTTGTGCACTATCCTCAAACAATTGCATGGTATTTTATAGCTGTAATAGCTACTGTAAATTGGACACTGCAGTTAGATTAACAATAATTGAAGCTTTCTGCCCATATAAGACATGTCTATGTCCCGCAAAGTTGGCTGTTTACAACACCATTCTAGTCACATATCGCATATTGAGCAACAACCGTCCCGTATAAGGGGCACCAATCCCATAGAGGTTAACCGCTGGGCTATCTGCCACCCTGTCAATTCTTCAGTATGGAAGGGTTCGTATGTGTTGTTTAGTGTTTATCAGTGGGCTCAAGTCAGCATTTCCTCCCACAATAATTCAGAGAAGACACAGAATTACAAAGAAAGTAATCACTTGTTTATTTTTTTCTCCAAAATCATCTCAAAGTGGCCTAGTACATTTACTATTCCTTTTTTAAAAACTTCCACCTACAAATATCTGTCTGATCTCAGCTAAAGTCATGGAAAAAAGGTTTTACTTTACAGTAATGCTTGCAACTACAGGAATAGTTAGCATTACCACTAGGTTTGTGTCTGAAATGGCACTCTATTCCCTATATAGTGCACTACTTTTGACTTGGTTCAGCACAAGGCTGTGGTCAAAAGTAGTGTACTAGGGTAGGGTTTCCCAAACTCGGTCCTGGGGCCCCCCCTGGGTGCACAATTTGTTTTTTGCCCTAGCACTACACAGCTAATTCCAATAATCAAAGCTTGATGATGAGTTGGTTATTTGAATCAGCTGTGTAGTGCTAGGGCAAAAACCAAATCGTGCACCGGGGGGGCAGGATCAAGTTTGGGAAACCCTGCACTAGGGAATAGTGTGCTATTTCATATGCAGACAAGGTTCTATGGTCATCACGTCTTCTGGTTTAGCACATATACAGAAAAAGTTCTTTAAAAACACAGGTTCCAAATCAAACTCTCATGCAGAGAAAAATGTGGCACATCTCAGAACAAAATGCCAGACTGAAAAATATTGCAAATCATCTCATGGCTTCAAATCAGTTGTTCCTAGAAAAAAGGACACTTAAAAACCCATTCTTTGATTTTCTTTTCTTTTTTTGTACTAGACCCCATTAGTGAGAACCGAGGCAGAGACCCCATTAGTGAGAACCGAGGCAGATCCGTAAGATTGTACGGTCGGATGCCTCAAGGAACAGTGTTGTCTGTGTTTTGTTTGCTAGCAATTTGGAACAACTAATACTACCGTCAGGAAAGCTTGAGCTGTCAATCATTGACTTATTAACCAATTACCCAATCAAAAGATTTGGATACCAATCAAAATCTCCTGATAGGTCAAAATCAAAAACAGGCCAATCACATGGAAGCCCTATAATGGGAGAGCTATCCAATAATAGTATTATTGGATAGCTCTCCCATCTATATCTAAACACATGGCAATAAATAGCCTTGAACAACAGTTTGATCATAACAGTACTTATTTCATCTGACATCATCAAGGTATAACTCGTGAAGATGCAGCTGAATCGAAAAACATCAAAAGGGAAGACTTGCTCTTTCTCACAGTCCAACAGAAAATACTTTTACAAAACATGCACAGTTCACTGCTGAAAATCATCTGCTGGATTCACCATGGCTAAAAAGCTTATTCATATTAAGCTAATTTAAATATAAATAATTCAATTTATTTGATAGCTTTCTTAGCTTTCAATTCAAATACAGAGTTGTACTGTAGCTTGAGTAGTGCAATAGTTATGGAGGACCATAAATAGCCACATCAGTCTGATCTTCCCTTTATGACAGTAGCATAAAAAAGCCTTTTAGATTTCACAGAACATTTCTGAAACATTCTGTCATGGAGAGTTCTAAAACATTATTTCATATGAAATGAATGCAGCAAATGTGTTCAGCAGTCTGCAAGCCTGTATTAAGCAGGTGTCATCAGTCTGTCACAGAGCACTACAGTATACGCAGGCAGCCTGACCAGTGTAAAGAAAGAATGACCACAAACCATCCAGTCGTCACAGAGTCGGGGTAAAGCTCTCGGTGTTCCCCAAGCTGAGAAACATGATTGTCGTAGAGCGCGCACAACATTGTACATTTTAGTTTCCTTTTTAAAAACGATTTCCTAAAAAATAAATCACTCCATTGACTCTTGGCTGTGGCGGTTTCGATTCAAAATGGCCTTGATGTGTTTGCAGAGGAGATAAAATAATAATTTGTTTCACCAAAATACAGTAAAAATATGAGTGGTTACCATAGAAACAACCCTATTTAAGGTTCGGCTGTGTGCTTTTGTAAAACATAAAACCCACAAACAGTCAGTTTTATCACATGGCCAACCTAGAATAATAAAAAATGAAAAAGTCAAAATAAACGATAACAACAACAGTAATGCTATGGTTTTATACATATTTTACACACGTTTTAAAAGTGATCTCTATAGTTTTTTGTTAATAATAGACTTCTCTTATGAGCATAGGGCGCTAGGTATATAGGTCACAGTGGGTATCACATATTAACACTTTGGATGCTAACGCTAATTATTCTAATGCTAGCATTTGCTAATGCTAATTAAGCTAATCAACCAGAGAGGCAAAACTGACAGAGAAGCTAGATGGGTTTGTATGGGAAGTACTATGAAGGAGTCGGGTGACATTGTTCCTAGACGCTGATCCACAGTCAGTTTTGTATGTTACCTCTAAATGCTCAAGATCAGGGTTGAATGAGCGTGAAGCTGATCCTAGATCTGTGCATACGAGACACTTGTAACCCAAAACGTACTATCAAACCATATCTGACGTTATCACATCGTTACTTTAACATCAAAGAGACGTTTGGGGATTTTTTTTATCCCAACGTTGCCCCAGACTGAAGCCCTGCTATAGTAACCATGCAGCTCTACCTGAAGCCCTGTTATAGTAACCATGCAGCTCTACCTGAAGCCCTGCTATAGTAACCATGCAGCTCTACCTGAAGCCCTGCTATAGTAACCATGCAGCTCTACCTGAAGCCCTGCTATAGTAACCATGCAGCTCTACCTGAAGCCCTGCTATAGTAACCATGCAGCTCTACCTGAAGCCCTGCTATAGTAACCATGCAGCTCTACCTGAAGCCCTGCTATAGTAACCATGCAGCTCTACCTGAAGCCCTGCTATAGTAACCATGCAGCTCTACTGGTTTAAAGTGACACTGGTCCTATTCTAGAGGTCTCTTATAGCTCTCATCTGGGTTTATTTTTAAACAACAGGGCCCGGTTTCCCAAGAGTATCTTAAGGCTAAGTTCATCCTTAGTAACTTCGTAGGAGCATCGTTAAATCTCAGAGCTGTTTCCCAAAACCATCGTTACTAAAGTTGCACTTGAAAACGCTCATTATTTACCGACTGCTTCAGACCACTCGTAGAACAGCCAAGTGCGTCTAAAGTTAGTTTTTATTCCCTACCGTGTCACTTTATACACAGAAGACCTCCACTAAACATAGAATCAAGATGTTTATCCGGCTCTGTGACCGTTGATAACTTCACAACGAAGGATAAAAATACGCTTCAAATGAAAACTGTGATGACTGCATTCAAAGATAGCCTACCTACAGTATAGACTATATACTGTATTTCAATGATATTGAAATCAATTTCATGTTCATTCAATTTTGTTTTATTTTACTATTTGGCTAATGTCTGTCATTTTTGCCTCAATATATTTAATGATGTGTAGCCTAACGTGTGCAATGATGTTCCAAATCTTGCTTAAGTGCATTATTATAGGGTAAGCATTAGATTAAGCCGCCTCAATATTTGCAGCCGTAGGTGATAATATCTCTCTAGGTAGCTGATCCATCGTCAGTATTGTGGAATAATTATAATGTTAAGGTAAGATTTGAATGGAGAAAGCTGATCCGAGAGCAGCACTGCCTTTCGTTCGATCCTATCAGTATCGATACATGCTCCAACGACACACTTGGCAAGTGTTCCCTCTGTGTGGCGTTTTGGGAAACGCGTGTTACATCTTTGACCATTGTAGGAAAGATGCATTGTTAAAACACTCGTAAGCCTAAGTTCGATCTCTATCGGGAAACCGGGCCCAGGAGAGTTCTGAAATAATCTTCAGCACTCTGTCAAACTGTCAATCCCCAAGTCAATAATATAAGGAAAATGGCCCATCAGTGAAATTAGCTGCCAGTTATCAACAACACTGGAAGTTCAAAATAAATGTGTGTTTGGGGAGTTGGCTAGTAGTGGGGAGTGAGAGACGGCGAGATCCATTGTGTGGTTTTCCTGGGTCGTATAATGTCCAGTCACATATACCAGGTCATGTCTAGAAGGGTTACAGCTTTTGTCAAATTAACACCAAAAGTGGATTTGTTTTGCATTTTAGCTAACCCTAATTATTTTCTTAACCATAACCTAATTCTCCTAACATGCTACGTTAATTATCCTAACCTGCTGCGTAAGTTCTTCTAACCTACTACCAAAAGTTAATTTTGACAAAAGCTGCATCCCATCTGGACAAAACCCATATCCCAGGGGAATGGTGGGTGATGGGAACTGTAGTCATTGGGAGCAGGGTGTTATGGGTAGTGTAGGCAGTAGGAGCGGAGGTGGTTTCAGGTGGTGTCAGGTGAGCATAGTTAGTTAGTCTTCCTCTCTGGTTGCTGTGGACTACAGAGGGCCTTTGAACTGGTTGCTGTGGACTACAGAGGGCCTTTGAACTGGTTGCCAGAGAGATGCTGCCTGATGGACGGCTTAGATCCTGCTGCATCGCCCAGCTTTCTCCACACCACCTACACACACACACACACACACACACACACACACACACACACACACACACACACACACACACACACACACACACAAAGAAAACACAAACTAAAGGGTTATGTCCTCACTTGGTCTTTCACTAACTGAACCCCTGGTGGAATCTCTCTGTCCTCACTTGGTCTTTCACTAACTGAACTCCTGGTGGAATCTCTCTGTCCTCACTTGGTCTTTCACTAACTGAACTCCTGGTGGAATCTCTCTGTCCTCACTTGGTCTTTCACTAACTGAACTCCTGGTGGAATCTCTCTGTCCTCACTTGGTCTTTCACTAACTGAACCCCTGGTGGAATCTCTCTGTCCTCACTTGGTCTTTCACTAACTGAACTCCTGGTGGAATCTCTCTGTCCTCACTTGGTCTTTCACTAACTGAACTCCTGGTGGAATCTCTCTGTCCTCACTTGGTCTTTCACTAACTGAACTTCTGGTGGAATCTCTCTGCATGTGAGATGAGAGGACCCAGGGCCCCATAGATGATACAGAGGTGGTATTGTGAAGCTCCCCACATTCCTGCCCTGCCACATCTCTCTCTCTCTCCTCATCAGTAGGCTATTTGTAGGGGGCCGCCTGGGCCTTTCAGCACCACAGAGATGGAGGGAGGAGGTGAAGGCGTAGAATAATGGAGGGAGGGAGGGGAGGGGAGGAGAGGAGAATGATACGAATCCTGCTCTGCTCTTTTTCCTGCCCCCTCAGATAGATTAATTGCTCTGACAGTTGGGCTGCGAGAGCCTATTATAAAAGACTCCAATCAATAGAACACTGCTCCAATTAGAACACTGATCCACGATGAGAGAGAGAGAGAGAGAGGAGAGAGAGAGAGAGAGAGAGAGAGATGCACAGATAGAGAGAGAGTAAAATAGAGATGGAGGGTAAAGGAGAGAGAGAGAGAGAGAGAGAGAGAGTAAACTAAGATGGGAGGGGAAGGAGGAAAAGGGGAGGGGCGAAACGAGAGAGACAGAGAGAGACAGAGAACAAAGGAGAAAAGGGGAGAAGGGACAGAAAAGGAAAGGGGAGAAGAGACAAAGAGAAAAAGAAAACAAAGGAAAAGGGGGAGAGAAGAGAGAGAGAGCAAAAAGATGCACAATAGAGGGGAGAAGGGAAAATAGAAGTGGAGGTTAAAGGAAGAAGAGAGAGAGAGAGAGAGAAGAGAGAAGGGGGAAAAGCCAGGGAAGGGTAGGAAGAGAAGAGAGGGCCGGAAGGGGAGGGGAAAAAGAAGAAGAAAAGAAGAAGGGGGAAGAGAAAAGAGAGGAGAGAGGGGAGAGAGAGAAAAGAGAGAGAGAGAGTAAAATAGAGATGGAGGTAAATAGAAGAGAGAAGAGGGGAAACCCAGACACAAGAGAGGCAGGGGAAAAGACAAAAAAGAGAGAAAAGAAAACCAAAAAGAAAAGAGAGCCAAAGAGAAAAAAGAGGAAGAAAAGCGAGAGAGAGGGGGAAGGGTACCCAAAAGAAAAAATTGAGGGACAAAGGAGAGAGAGAACCGAAAAGGAGAGAAGAGAGGCCCAAAAGATTAAAGGGAGAGGAAGAAAAGGGGAAGAGAGCAGAACCCCGGAGATAGGGCAACAGAAGAAAAACCCCGAGAAGGGAGAGCCAAAGAGAGAAGACAAGAGAAGACAGAGAAGAGGAGAAAGAGAAAAGAAGAGAACAGAGAGAGAGAACAGAGAGAAAAGAGACAAGAGATAAAAGACAGAGAGAGAGAAAACCCCCGAGAGAGAAGAGAAAAAAAGAGAGAGAGAGAAGGAGAGCAGAGGGGCCCAAAAAGAGGGGAGTAAAATAAGATTGGGGGGTAAAGGAAGAGAGAGAAGAAAAAAGGAGGGAAAAGAGAGAAGGGACCCCAAAGAGAGAGAGACCAAAAAGAGAGAAAAGAGAAAAAGAAGGAGACAAGAGAGATAAAAATAGGAAGACCCAAAAAGAGAGAGAAGAGAGAGAACCCAAAAAAGAGAGAGAGAGAGAGATAGAGAGAGACAGAGAGACAGAGAGAGAGAGAGAGAGAGCGAGAGAGAGAGAGAGAACACTCTCTGTACAGCAAAAGCTACAGTTCCTTCTACTGCGTTGTAGCTCTGAGCAAAATAGGCCAAGGCAATGTAGTTACAGGACCCAGAATGCCTCTCCTCATGTTCTACCTGTACTAATAACTCATCAGGGTGAGAGAGGCAGATGGGAAAAAAAACAGAGAGAGAGAGATGGTGAGAATGAGAAAGAAAGGCAAGGATGTACATCTACTTACATTACACATCTCTCTGACGATGGCCTTCTCCTTCTCACTCAGATCCTCCTCGTAGTCCTCTGGGACCTGCTTCTTATCCAGGTTCTCATGCACCTCCAACACCTGGTACAATCAGGCATATTATCATGAAAACCAAGTTAGTGAATAAATGTGATTCATTGTTTAAACCAGCAGTCTCTCACAACACATCATCAACACAACAACAACAAAACAATATGTTGATGTGCCCTTGAGCAAAGGCACTTAACACTAATTGCTCCCTAGATAAGTCGCTCTGAATAAGAGCACTGCCTAAATAATGACTAAATGTACATGGAACAAAAGAGCATATAACTTACAACTCACTTCCAGCTAAAACCCAGGAATACTCTACTCTCCAATATCCAGCAAACAGCACATTATTAACTCTACAATCTCAATATCTCCAGCTAAACAGCATATAACTCTACAATCTCAAGATCCCCCAGCTAAAACAGATGATAACTTACAATCTCAATAGCCCCGCAAAACAGCATGAGAACTCTACATCTCAATATCCCAGCAAAACAGCATGATAACTATACAATCTCAATATCCCAGCTATAACAGCATGATAACTCTACAATCTCAATATCCCAGCTAAAACAGCATGATAACTCTACAATCTCAATATCCCAGCTAAAACAGCATGATAACTCTACAATCTCTATATCCCAGCTAAAACAGCATGATAACTCTACAATCTCAATATCCCAGCTAAAACAGCAACATCAGATTAATTTGATGTGTTGTGAGAGCAGTTCAAATACTATTTCAAATATCTCAATTACTTTCATATACAGTGAGGGAAAAACGTATTTGATCCCCTGCTGATTTTGTATGTTTGCCCACTGACAAAGACATGATCAGTCTATAATTTTAATGGTAGGTTTATTTGAACAGTGAGAGACAGAATAACAACAACAAAACATCCAGAAAAACGCATGTCAAAAATGTTATAAATTGATTTGCATTTTAATGAGGGAAATAAGTATTTGACCCCTCTGCAAAACATAACTTAGTACTTGGTGGCAAAACCCTTGTTGGCAATCACAGAGGTCAGACGTTTCTTGTAGTTGGCCACCAGGTTTGCACACATCTCAGGAGGGATTTTGTCCCACTCCTCTTTGCAGATCTTCTCCAAGTCATTAAGGTTTAGAGCCTGACGTTTGGCAACTCGAACCTTCAGCTCCCTCCACAGATTTTCTATGGGATTAAGGTCTGGAGACTGGCTAGGCCACTCCAGGACCTTAATGTGCTTCTTCTTGAGCCACTCCTTTGTTGCCTTGGCCGTGTATTTTGGGTCATTGTCATGCTGGAATACCCATCCACGACCCATTTTCAATGCCTTGGCTGAGGGAAGGAGGTTCTCACCCAAGATTTGACGGTACATATCCCTGTCCATCGTCCCTTTGATGCGGTGAAGTTGTCCTGTCCCCTTAGCAGAAAAACACCCCCAAAGCATAATGTTTCCACCTCCATGTTTGACGGTGGGGATGGTGTTCTTGGGGTCATAGGCAGCATTCCTCCTCCTCCAAACACGGCGAGTTGAGTTGATGCCAAAGAGCTCCATTTTGGTCTCATCTGACCACAACACTTTCACCCAGTTCTCCTCTGAATCATTCAGATGTTCATTGGCAAACTTCAGACGGCCCTGTATATGTGCTTTCTTGAGCAGGGGGACCTTGCGGGCGCTGCAGGATTTCAGTCCTTCACGGCGTAGTGTGTTACCAATTGTTTTCTTAGTGACTATGGTCCCAGCTGCCTTGAGATCATTTACAAGATCCTCCCGTGTAGTTCTGGGCTGATTCCTCACCGTTCTCATGATCATTGCAACTCCACGAGGTGAGATCTTGCATGGAGCCCCAGGCCGAGGGAGATTGAAAGTTATTTTGTGTTTCTTCCATTTGCGAATAATCGCACCAACTGTTGTCACCTTCTCACCAAGCTGCTTGGCAATGGTCTTGTAGCCCATTCCAGCCTTGTGTAGGTCTACAATATTGTCCCTGACATCCTTGGAGAGCTCTTTGGTCTTGGCCATGGTGGAGAGTTTGGAATCTGATTGATTGTTTGCTTTTGTGGACAGGTGTATTTTATACAGGTAACAAACTGAGATTAGGAGCACTCCCTTTAAGAGTGTGCTCCTAATCCCAGCTCGTTACCTGTATAAAAGACACCTGGGAGCCAGAAATCTTTCTGATTGAGAGGGGGTCAAATACTTATTTCCCTCATTAAAATGCAAATCAATTTATAACATTTTTGACATGTGTTTTTCTGGATTTTTTTGTTGTTATTCTGTCTCTCACTGTTCAAATAAACCTACCATTAAAATTATAGACTGATCATTTCTTTGTCAGTGGGCAAACGTACAAAATCAGCAGGGGATCAAATACTTTTTTCCCTCACTGTACATTCGTAAGTATGTATATGAAAGTATTCAGGTATAGTTCATTTGAAGAGACAAGTAGTTGAAAATTGTAATGTATTTGGAAATACATTTTCAAATACAATTACTCAAATACACTCCCAATGCATTTAACCCAGGTATTTGAAAAGAGTATTTGAAATTCCTCTTAAATACAATTTGGTCGACTAATTGGTTTTTTTACATTGAATGCTCAAATAAAAGTACTTGTTTTGGGTTGTGTATTGGAAAATACTCAAATACACAGAAAAAAGTATTTAAAAAACCAGATCCATAAATACATTTTACTCATTTAGCAGACGCTCTTATCCAGAGCGACTTACATGAGCAATTAGGGTTAAGTACCTTGCTCAAGGGTACATCGACAGATTTTTCACCTAGTCGGCCAGGGGATTAGAACCAGCGACCTTTCGGTTACTGGCACAACGCTCTTAACCACTAAGCTACCTGCCGCCCTACAATACATACACATGTATTTGAACCTAGGTCTGTGTGAGAGATGATGTCAAGTTGCCGTACCTTCATAGCGTGGACCACAGCCTCTGGTTTCTGAACACAGGACAGGTAGCCTGTTACCGGGGTTGACTCACTGGTGGGGAGGCGACCAACCGTGCCCTGAGAGAGGAGAAATATTGAGTTAGTCTGGTGGGGCGACGACCATTCGTGCCCTCTATTCTAAACTATTTGTAATTGCCAGAATTTTTTACAAATTTTATTTTAATTTTTTATTAGGGGGTAGATCAGCTTTAATATTGCAGATAGATTGTAACTTCCATCAATGTAATTTCCTGAAGTTACTTACTTCCTATATAGATAAGGCCTAACCACAAAAGTAAAATATTGCTAACGTTCCCTTTTTCCTTCCCTGTTTTTTAGGTGAAACCCACCGTGTGAGATGTGTAATCAGAACTGCTGTGCTGGGCCAGATATTGGTTCTATTCCTCGCTGGGTAGGGGTTCTGTATAAGTAAAGGTTTTGGACAGTGCAGAGAAACACACAGCTCCAGGCAGTGTTTACTATTCATATGGATGTTGAGTCCTGGCTCAGTTCCCTGCATAATCAGCCTGTTTTAGGTCTTCCAGTACGGGGAGAGAAAAACACACTGTCAGAAACCATGGTCCATTGGTTAACACACTGTCAGAAACTATGGTCCATTGGTTAACACACTGTCAGAAACTATGGTCCATTGGTTAACACACTGTCAGAAACCATGGGGTACAGTGTTAAAACGAGGAGTAGGAGAGGACTATCTAGTGTCGGTGTAAATGAAATGAAGGCAGTGTTGTCTAATTAAAACACACACGCTTGCACGCACGCTTACACACACACACACACACAATACGTGACCTGAAAGTGGAAGTGGGGCAGAATGATCCCAGTTGTGAACAAGAGAGAACAGAGCAGAGGAGGGCCACCAACTAAATATAAAACCATGATGATGATGGGAGAAGAAGCCATCCTATTAACTAACTAACAGTCCGCATCGAGAGAACGGTTGTTGGTTGGAACAGAGAGAACAGGAAGTTCAGCATCATATGACTCTCTCTCTCTCTCTCTCTCTCTCCTCCAGCTCTCTCTCTCCATCTCTGTCACTCTTTCTCTCCTACATCTCCATCCCTCTCACTAACTCTCTCTCTCTCTCTTTCCATCTCTCGCTCTCTGTTCCACTTAGGCCATCTCTTACACTTGGATGAACACATCAGAAGCCAGCCAATCAATCACAGTACAGACCATAATGAGATGGTCTCTATGGAGACGTCATGACAAACAAGATGCAGGAAATGAAAGACTTTCTAATCCAATAAATATACCGTCACCGGTGGAAGACGTTTACTGTACACTGTGGTCTGTAAATCTGAGGATATGGCATTTTGAACAGAAGGCGTGGTCATGTAAATATGTGTTGTATTTATTCATCCCTTTTCTAACAAGGCAAGTCATCTCAATAGAGGTAGAATAAGGCAATACGGCCTGAGGGGGTGTGGTATATTGCCAATATACCACGGCTAAGGGCGGTTCTTATGCACTACGCAACGCGGAGCGCCTGGATACAGCCCTTAGCCGTGGTATATTGGCCATATACCACAAACCTCTGAGGTGCCTTATTGCTATTATAAACTGGTCACCAATGTAATTAGATATACCACGGCGCTTTCAGCCAATCAGCATTTAGAGCTCGAACCACCCAGTTTATAATATAACATATAGTTATATGGTAATCTCTTTTTCATGGAAATATGAGGTTTCAGTATGTAATGGCCTCTGAAGTCAGTGCACTGGCACACGGTCCCACAGAGGAGAGAGTGAGGCGGTTAGTAAACTCCTGCTTCCCTCTCTTTAGGCTGTGTGCCCTGCTCCTGTCTCACCTGGGAGAGACTCATGGGTCAAAGGTCATGACTAGGACACTCCTAAGTAGGAGATTGACCTCTAAAGCTGTGTAGCGCGTGCTGGGCCTGTACAGCATGCTTTCTGTGCTACGGCTGTATGTAGCGCCTGTGTACTGGGTCTTAGGTCTGGCAGTATGTAGGGCCTGTGTACTGGGTCTTAGGTCTGGCAGTATGTAGGGCCTGTGTACTGGGTCTTAGGTCTGGCAGTATGTAGGGCCTGTGTACTGGGTCTTAGGTCTGTCAGTATGTAGGGCCTGTGTACTGGGTCTTAGGTCTGTCAGTATGTAGGGCCTGTGTACTGGGTCTTAGGTCTGTCAGTATGTAGGGCCTGTGTACTGGGTCTTAGGTCTGTCAGTATGTAGGGCCTGTGTACTGGGTCTTAGGTCTGGCAGTATGTAGGGCCTGTGTATGGGTCTTAGGTCTGTCAGTATGTAGGGCCTGTGTACTGGTCTTAGGTCTGTCAGTATGTAGGGCTGTGTACTGGGTCTTAGGTCTGGCAGTATGTAGGGCCTGTGTACTGGTCTTAGGTCTGGCAGTATGTAGGGCCTGTGTACTAGGTCTTAGGTCTGGCAGTATGTAGGGCCTGTGTACTGGGTCTTAGGTCTGGCAGTATGTAGGCCTGTGTACTAGTCTTAGGTCTGGCAGTATGTAGGGCCTGTGTACTGGGTCTTAGTCTGGCAGTATGTAGGGCCTGTGTACTGGGTCTTAGGTCTGGCAGTATGTAGGGCCTGTGTACTAGGTCTTAGGTCTGGCAGTATGTAGGGCCTGTGTACTGGGTCTTAGGTCTGGCAGTATGTAGGGCCGTGTACTGGGTCTTAGGTCTGGCAGTATGTAGGGCCTGTGTACTGGGTCTTAGGTCTGGCAGTATGTAGGGCCTGTGTACTGGGTCTTAGGTCTGGCAGTATGTAGGGCCTGTGTACTGGGTCTTAGGTCTGGCAGTATGTAGGGCCTGTGTACTGGGTCTTAGGTCTGGCAGTATGTAGGGCCTGTGTACTGGGTCTTAGGTCTGGCAGTATGTAGGGCCTGTGTACTAGGTCTTAGGTCTGGCAGTATGTAGGGCTGTGTACTGGGTCTTAGGTCTGGCAGTATGTAGGGCCTGTGTACTGGGTCTTAGGTCTGGCAGTATGTAGGGCCTGTGTACTGGGTCTTAGGTCTGGCAGTATGTAGGGCCTGTGTACTGGGTCTTAGGTCTGGCAGTATGTAGGGCCTGTGTACTGGGTTGTAGAGATTCTGTAGAGTGAGGTCATCAGGGGGATGGCAAAGTGAGGTCTGGCCTCTTGGATTTGCGCGTCATCCTTTCACAGGGGCCTTGCTAATCTTCTCTGTATCGATCCAATTTTAGTATCTGTGCTGCCGAAGCTCTCTACTCTGGCAGTCAGAAAACATTTACCAGCCGGTCTGTCTCCTCTGGTAGAGGAGAGAGGTTAGAAGTCAGGGGTCAGAGTGGATAATTAATTTCATTCCACATGATTCAGTTGAAAAAGGCTCTGGGGAGACGGAAGCCTAAAGGCCTGGTGAGTCCGTGGTTTAAACTGGGTGGTGTAGATGTGTTAGAGAGACAGTGGGAAAAAGACATGCAGAGGATGGCTGTAAGAACAGCAGTGGGTAGATGTGTTTTTACAGGTGTGTGTTCTCACGTTGTACAGTGCATCCTGGCGTTGTGGCAGGGATGACAGCTGAGACTCAGAGTGGTACAGGGTCATCCCCTTCCTCAGGACACGCAGGTCCCCTGGGTTACACTGCTGCTGGGGAGACAGAGAGAGGGAGAGGTTATCCCACACTGTTCAATACTCACATCACAGCCCCCAGACCCTGCCAACACACTGTTCAATACCCACAGCACAGCCCCCAGACCCACATCACAGCCCCCAGACCCACATCACAGCCCCCAGACCCACATCACAGCCCCCAGACCCTGCCAACACACTGTTCAATACCCACATCACAGCCCCCAGACCCACATCACAGCCCCCAGACCCACATCACAGCCCCCAGACCAACATCACAGCCCCCAGACCAACATCACAGCCCCCAGACCCACATCACAGCGCCCCAGACCCACATCACAGCCCCCAGACCCACATCACAGCCCCCAGACCCACATCACAGCGCCCAGACCCACATCACAGCCCCCCAGACCCACATCACAGCCCCCAGACCCACCATCACAGCGCCCAGACCCACATCACAGCCCCCAGACCCACATCACAGCCCCCAGACCCTGCCAACACACTGTTCAATACCCACATCACAGCCCCCAGACCCTGCCAACACACTGTTCAATACCCACATCACAGCCCCCAGACCCACATCACAGCCCCCAGACCCACATCACAGCCCCCCAGACCCACATCACAGCCCCTAGACCCACATCACAGCCCCCAGACCCACATCACAGCCCCCAGACCCTGCCAACACACTGTTCAATACCCACATCACAGCCCCCAGACCCTGCCAACACACTGTTCAATACCCACATCACAGCCCCCAGACCCACATCACAGCCCCCCAGACCCACATCACAGCCCCCAGACCCACATCACAGCCCCCAGACCCACATCACAGCCCCCAGACCCACATCACAGCCCCCAGACCCACATCACAGCCCCCAGACCAACATCACAGCCCCCAGACCCACATCACAGCGCCCAGACCCTGCCAACACACTGTTCAATACCCACATCACAGCCCCCAGACCCTGCCAAACACATGTTCAATACCCACATCACAGCCCCCAGACCCACATCACAGCCCCCAGACCCACATCACAGCCCCCAGACCCACATCACAGCCCCCAGACCAACATCACAGCCCCCAGACCCACATCACAGCCCCCAGACCCACATCACAGCCCCCAGACCCACATCACAGCCCCCAGACCCTGCCAACACACTGTTCAATACCCACATCACAGCCCCCAGACCCTGCCAACACACTGTTCAATACACACAGCACAGCCCCCAGACCCTGCCAACACACTGTTCAATACCCACATCACAGCCCCCAGACCCTGCCAACACACTGTTCAATACCCACATCACAGCCCCCAGACCCACATCACAGCCCCTAGACCCACATCACAGCCCCCAGACCCACATCACAGCCCCTAGACCCACATCACAGCCCCCAGACCCACATCACAGCCCCCAGACCCACATCACAGCCCCCAGACCCTGCCAACACACTGTTGTGCACAGGGATAGAAGGCCAAAATGTCTAATATGGAAA